CAGGCAAATACGTAATGGGGTTGGGTTAAACAAGTTTGCTTGCGCCCCCCCTCTTTCCCTCTAACCTGGGACAGGACCATAAGGTTCAATTTCAAGAAAAAGAGTTAGATATGAAAAATAGCTCTGTATCTGTATTTCATCCTTCAGGACATACGAGATACAAGGAATCTTTGTTTTTAGTTTTATTGATTTTTATAATAATCAAGTGTCCAATTTCAATAAAGAAAATAATATAATAAATTCATATTTCTCACTACATAATGCAAGACCATTTTTCTCTTCCAGCGTAAAAAAATGGAAGAAAAGGCTGACGACAACAAAGAAGTAGAAAAGAAGAAGTTGATGTCCTTGACAGGTCCTACAACTCTGACATCATTAATGACACAAGACAAGAAAAGCAAGGATGGAAAGGATTATATTTATGTTCATATAGGTGAACTAAAGAAAAACGAAATATTTGTAAGTTATCTTATAAAGCTTAGTATACCAGAACCAGACGTAATAAAAATCATACGATCATGATAAAATCATACGATCCTGATATAATCATACGATCATGATAAAATCATACGATCCTGATAAAATCATACGATCATGATAAAATCATACGATCATGATAATATCATATGATCATGATAATTTCATACGATTATGATAATTTCAAAAGCAAAACCAAAGTGTGGAAGTCGAATTTTTTTCAATGGTCCAAATAATTGTCTTGATTTTTTCGAAACTGCTGGTGTTGTCCTAGTTTTACTCTCTACTAATTATTATTAACAAGACGAAACTATCCACCAGAGAGTTAATGTTCATCTTAATTTAATTAATATTTCAATTTGGATATAAGTTTTTAAATATATATTTACACTTACGAGAAAGATGATTAATTAAGATGTGTCTTTTATGTGAAAGTCATCTGTTTAGTTTCAATCTATCATACTTGCTTAGCTTACTGTAAACGCATGAATTTGATTTGGAAAAAACCCACATTTATATTAGAGACAACAGACGTTTACTGATGTTAAATCTCATAACTTAATTAAGAAGATACAAATCAAGTTAAAAAACCAATAAAAGTGGAAATCGCTATGAAAGCATCCCCAGCTATGCGAATCCACACTCAGTCAAAATATCAAAATCGAGATTAAGACACAATCGATAATTCCAGATCATACGACTATATTCTGTTGTCTAAAAATCTAAAACCGCAAAAACAAGTCGATAGAGGATTGAGACACATACACATCATATCGGTCATGCGAGTCGTGAAATGGACGGAAAAAAACATATGTATATGTTTTGTCGATTTCAGTAGTTTTTCCTCATAACTCTGTTAGAGCAGTTTTTGTGTCAGGAGCACAACCCTGTAAAGAAGTCCGTATAGTATGAACAAGATCGAAACGTATTAATTGTTTACACCATACGATAGGGCAAAGGCTACTCCTGAAAAATGGGATGTTGACATTTGGATAGTTGAAATCATCACGTATGTCATATATTCTAGTTTGAAGTCGTCCATCTGTTTCAACATCGAAGAAAAGTTGCGGTTGTATCCTTAATCACAAGTTCATTTGGGATATATGAGATACAATTACTCACTGAAATGTGGGTTATAAATCATTAATATGCAAGATGCTTTATCTTTTTGTATTTGAGGTTCTGTATGAATTCTGCTTCATATGAGTATTAAAAAAGGTCGGCCAATAGGGATGCACAATTAGTACCCAGGTGAATACCGACTATATGTTGAATAATAAAGGCAACAATAATATACCGCTGTTCAATGTCATTAATCGATTAAGCGAAAACAAATCCGGGTCACAAACCAAAATCGAGGGAAACACATCAACTATAAGAGGAAAACAACGGAACAACAGAAACACTGAACTGCAACAAAAACAAACGCCAACATACATAGACACGGATTATTTGATAACAACTGCCATATTCCTGACTTGGTACAGGACATTTTAAGAAAAAATGGTGGGTGAAATATCAATCCACCAAATGAAGAAATATGTTGTCTATCAAAATGTCCAGCATTTTTATGATATCATCTTCTGTGTATTTATTGTTGAACTAGTGTGGTTCTCAACAATGCAAGATTTTTAAAATATACTTTTTATAATGTTAATCAAACTTGTGTGCACAAAGACTGCACATATTTAGAACTAAAATACGAACGATGGAAAAATCCAGACTTAGACGACATTCGTAATTGTCTCATTGCCTTGTTTAAGAATATTCCCAACAATTATCATACAATAAGTATATAAACAAAGCAATTACATGTTTATGTCTACGTTAAATACACAAAATTCTTAGTGTTTTGGTTATATAGCTCTTCAACTGTTTCAGGTCCATCCTTGGCTTTCAAATATTCGGCTTTTAGCGTTCCTGATGAAGGTAAATCCAGGAAAGCGCCCTGACACATGACATTTATTATGTGTTGTTTTCATTTTGTTAGTCGTATAGAAGTTAAAACAAGATATGATGACAAAGCAAAAACAGATATGGGAATAAGATGAAATTTAATATCTTTGTGTGATATAAGTTATATGGTAAATAGGTTTTTATTTCAGAATTTTTACGCTATTTTGTATCCATCTAGAGCTCCCCCACACAGTTCAGTGATTTTAGTCAGCACCGGCTCAACATTAATGCGAATCAGGAGAAAAGTGTTCTTTAAAATAGCAACAAGAGAAGCAAAAGCTTTAGCCAATAATGTTGCAAAACTTGAAAGGTAATTTATTCGTTACTACCTGAATGTAGTTCATAAGGAGTTTGAAAATTCATATAAAAATTAAAGGAATGAAATTTCTTTTTTTCTTCACAATAGTCATGTACATCTACTGCAAATTGATTTCCTTTATGCTTGTTCTATCGTTTTACCTACAAAATTAGGCAACAGTACTTTACCGATGTTCAAATCTCATAAATCGATGAAGTACATACAAATAAAGGTAACAAAAAAATGAGAAAATCGCATGAACCCAAATGGAGCAAGATTGGGTCCGTCTACAGGATAAATGACTCCTGCTATGTATGCATCACCCGCCATGCGAATCCACACTCAGTCAAAATGTCACAATCGGGAATAGACCACAATCGGTAAAATTACACATTAGACGACCGTTCTTGTATCGTAAGATCTAAGACTTCGAAATCACGTAGCTTGTTAGTTCAGACATAGCCATTTCGTATTGGTCAATCAATTCGTGTTGCTAACAATACATGTTATGTAATGTCGAATTCAGTCGTATTTTCTCATAACTCTGTTGAAGTAGTTTTGTATAAGGAGCAAAATCTTTAATCAAGAGAAGTTTTCTTGAGAACTGTTACTTTTTATACAACATTTGTGGGAATACAGTGTATTTAAAAATCTTTTGTATTGTTATTTGTTTATATGCCTGGAGAAAATAGTTAAAACCCATCTTTAGGTTCTTTATTGTAACAGCAGTCTAATCAGATTCGGGTTTTAACTATTTTTTATAAAATATAAATATAAATAAAAATAAATCTGAAAGTTCTTATACAACTTATTTGAGAATATAAATGAAAGACAACTCTTACGAACAATTTTGATATGAAAACACCATGAACCTAGGTTGTGGGGTTTAAGTAAAATATGGAATTTATTTGTGAGATTTCATTTCAATAACTTTCTTTTTATAGCAGAAAGAAAATGTTTTCACTTCAAACTTTTAAAACTATGTTTTATCAGGAGAGATAGCACAGCTAATTAAGTTTCACAAAGGAATGTATTGTTAATTTTTTGTTGTGTAGCAAGAAAACGAATACGGCAATCCCAAGGGTTTTTGTACTAGCATGTTATTAATTTGATATGGACATTTTAGAAAGTTTCAGTTAACATCATAACAAATATACATTTTTAAATGCTAAAATTAATCAACTGATGTACAGGTGCTTTTAAGCTAGTAATAGTTTCTGGATATTGCTTCTCATTATTTGCAAATTTCCTTTAGTTTGTTTCGAGCATCGTCAAAGAATAATTAATGTTTGAAAACTGCACAAATTAATATTGGTATCTTGTAAATGTTGTATTATCTATCTCAGTTCGAGCGTACTTGGGATTAAGATAAAAATCCAGAGATATGGTATGCTAGCCAATGAGACAACTATCTACCAAAAACAAATGACGTTCATGCAATCATTGATCATAAATATAAAAAATAGTGTTAGATTTTCAGAGTTACCATTGGTGCATATCCCGAGTCTATTGATCGTTACTTGACACATGACCTTATATGTCATATTATAAGTGTAACATTAATTGAACGTTTTCATTTCATTTGTGTTCCGTATCAGTTTTGGTAATGCTCAATCGCCGTCGTAAGAGTGACCAATATTAGAAAACTAATTATACACCCATTTTAACTGGCTTAATTAAAATTTATAGATTTGTGACTGACGAACAGCTGCTTGAAGCCTATAAAGAAATGGCAAGCTGGGATGAATTCAAGTACCGAGTTGTACAAGAATCGATTGGACCAAACAAGGAAAATTTGAAAAAGAAGTTATCCAATCATCAAATACGCGTAGTTCATGAGCGACGAGAAAGGTCACAGAAATTGTTAAAGACACTAAAGAAAAATAATAGAATTGCTAAAAAGATTGAGGAAACAGAAGATAACGAAGAAAGAGAAAAGAGAAACAAAATGTTAGAAAATTTGAGACTGAAACAGAAGTCTGTAAGTGAGCAACAGTTCCAGTTGTGTAGAATTGTAAGGAAGGAAAGAAACGATACTGTAATAGGCAGACGCACAGTGACGTCATCGATGACATCAGCACAACCGGTTAATCCAGTGTTACAAGAAATTCGTGACGTTCGGGATGCACCTGCAGTGGATTATTTACCGAAAAGGAGAATGTCAAGGAGATATTCACAAACAACATCTTTAGGTGCATGTTTGCCGCTTCCATCCGACAAACCAATACCAAGCAACTTAGCACTAGACTATAAATGACAAAACTTCACATAAATATACTCAAGAATTGAGATTTATAAGTTTTAACAAATCTACAGATAGTATTTAATGTGTGAACAAAAACCAGTAATTCAATAGTTGAATCAATGTTGATGTTAACGTTATATTATTTCAAAAATATGAAGCATATTGTGGGTAAGATGTATGAAATAAATGTCAACTACGTTTCACGAGGGTGACTTCATCTGAACGTGACATTACTTTTGACAAAGCTTTTGATCTAGCAATTTCAAGCCTCTGCGTTTTTCGTTTCTCATAATAATTGCTCTTTCTCTTATATTCGTTCACTTGTTCCCTCTTCTTCCGTTTAAAGAATCCAACCTTTAGAAAAGAAAAAAGACTTTGCAAATATACTTTTGTTCAAACCTTCAGTATGAATCATGTATACAGATTCATCACTAAATTCATACAACAAACATTACATTATTCATTAAAGAACCTTTGTGAGCACGTTCACATACCCCACGCCCCCACATTGTCACTGGACAAACAAAATCTCACCAGATTCTTAAGTTCAAGGACTCATCACTCTACAAAAGTCAACTGATAAAAATTTTCTTGTGGATATACACATTTACACATTATGTCCTCATTAACTACAAACTTTCATGAAATTCTGTTGTGTGGTTACAGAGAAGTGGCGATGACAAACTGTTGCAGTAGTATAATTAGGCCAAAATTCTAAGTTCAAAGGGGCATAACTCCTAGAAAAAAATTGAATCGTAACTTCCTGTTGATATGCACATCTACATAGTATGTCCTTCTTATCTACAAAGTTTCATGAAATTCTGTTGTGTGGTTTCAGAGGAGTTGCGATGACAAACTGTTGCAGTAGTATATTTTGGCCAAAATTCTAAGTTAAAGGGGCATAACTCCTAGAAAAAAAATTGATTCGTAATTTCCTGTCGATATGCACATCTACATAGTTTTCCTTATTATCTACAAAGTTTCATGAAATTCTGTTTTGCGGTTTCAGAGGAGTTGCGATGACAAGAACAAGACTGACGGGTGAAAAACATTATACCCACCGCAACCTGGTTGCGTGGGGTATAATTAAAAGGGACAAAACATCAGAAATATGAACAAAATTAAATATTAACGGATAGAAGATACGTCAATGACATTGCACCCATATGACATGCACAAACCACTAAAAGTCCAAAAAAGTTATCGTAGTGATTTATATTGTTTTCGAGAACATTATAATATATATAAACATAGTTAAGATAGAATATTGCTAGTTGCAATCCATTACGTGCCAATTGCTCATTTTCAGTTGAAGTATCAAATTGAGAATACAACACTAAAAAATGCAGCATCCTATTCACATATACAAAGAAGAATAATATATGATTAATCTCCGAATTTGTTTCAACAGCCATCCTTACAAATCCCTACACTAAAAGGAGTATGTCTTTAACCAGGTTGAGAAACAAAGTATGAAACTTGGTAAATAATCAAATTATTTAATTTAATTTAATGTTCAAAGATTTTTATCGGTGTTTCACAGGTTTTCGGAATATCATAGTGAACAGTGATTAGTATACATCACATGGTTGAGTTGATCGTATCAATCAGAATACAAATATACAAACCTTCCACATAACTAAACCAATGATAAGAAGTAAGATTACACCAGCTAAAATAAAAATATACAAACCTTCCACATAACTAAACCAATGATAAGAAGCAAGATTACACCAGCTAAAACACCCCCGACAATAATCCACAAGTTGATCGATTCTACTTCATGCTCAGTTTTTGCAGGATATAATATGCTAGTGACCTATAAGATAAAACATATTATTTTATTCTGACTTAATTATAACTTAGATTTGTGTTTTACTAATAATGTCGCGTACATTTCATAAATCAAGGCAGATTGCAATCTTCAATTGAATAGGACAGCGTGCGATCAAGACCTAATGTGGAATTTCTTTTGTCAGGATTTCCACGGATGTCTTTTTTAAAGGTGAGATAGTAAAAACATAAAAAACAGGGACTCTTTTCACAAAAAATCTTACGATTAAAATTGATCGTAATTTATACTGAAATGTGTATGACTTACCGAGTATTTTTACTCTTAAGTTTTTTTGTGAAAAGAGCCGCAGGTAGTTAGCGATCCATGACTTTTGATATATTTTGGATATTTTATTTGTTAATTACTGTCTCATTGACGTATACCCCTAGAAAATTTCTTTATAGAGTATTTATCATTTTCTTGGTAAAACAAATTCGTAATTGTGTAACTTGGAGATTGTATTTTCTATATCATATATAACACTAAAATTCAAATTCACAAAAGATAGCCTTCCTCAATAAATTGTTTGCTCATTTAGTTTAATGTGAAGTTTATTTGACTGTCTTTTAGTTCATTATTCTTCGGTCAAGTTGTTGTTTTCCCTTTTCAACTTTTTGTTATGCCCCTTTTGTATCTTCTTATATTTTTTTATCAAGCACTAAAATAGAATAAAAACTTTATTCCTTTACCACTTAATTCTTTCATAGATACACAATTTGGTTGAACCTATAGAATAATTGAAAAAAAAACAGGATAGCACATTCTAATTTTTATGATGATGTTGTTAATGGAGCCCGTAAATTCAGAAATTATCCGCGTAAACTTATCGATCTTTTAAATAACCTTATTCTAAAAGGTAACCAACTTAACACTGTAAGATCTTTGAATGTTGTTTTTATCGGTATACATATATATTTTTTATCAATGAATTAAACCCCAACAAAATATTATTACTTTACACCTATGCACTTTCACAGACCTACATTCTGTCGATACCTATATTTTGGTATTGCACAATATCATGATTGTAAATGACGTCTTTACACGTAATCCATTGGATGTTGGATGTGTACTAATTTATATTTTAGTCTTAGATACATGTTTTTGTATTAGTTGTTATGGGTTTTTAATTATCTTTCAGTAACTGCGAGTACTCTCAGATCTGAACTTGAACTTGATGTCCTTAGGGTATTTGTTAGTTTTTTTGTGCTTTGTATCGATCTGATGAGTTAAGTCCTTTCAACCGATCTTATATCTATTTTTGTTCTCATGTTGTGTTGTTACACCACTGGCCAAGCTAAGGGTAGGTTTGGGCGTACGCAAACATGTTTAACCCCACCACATTCTTGATGTGCCTGTCGCAAGTCAGAAGCCTGTAATCAAGCGGTTGTCGTTTGTTGCTGTATATCATATTTGTTTTTCGTTTATTGTTTTGTACATAAATCTGGCCGTTAGTTTTTCCTTTTGAATTGTTTTACATTTGTTATATCGGTACCTTTTATAACTAGCTATGCGGTATTTAATTTGCTCATTGTTGAAGGCCGTACGGTGACCTATAGTTGCAAACTACTATGTCATTTGGTCTCTGGTGGAGAGATGTCTCATTGGCAATTATACTACATTTTCTAATTTTATATTATAAGTACATTCGATAACATGTATTTTCTGCTTCCTACGTTCAATTGAAAATATATGCTTTGAAGGTATCATTTTACATTCCATTTATAATGAGTTTACATGGACATATATTGTAAAGCGTATACTAAAATTAAACTTTTGCACAACTTGGTTTGTTTTCTTTAAATTATTTCGTAGAGTTAAAGATAAAACAATTGAAATAGAGGTCAACAGTCGTTTTCATTTTGTCCCGTTATTAAACAAGCCGTTGAGTCTATTAAAAAGAAACACGTACCTTTGTTGTGTCATTACGGAGTAGTTCGAATGGAAAATCTGTTTCAGCCGGGAACACATACGCTGTTGTAGTGAAATATACGGATTGCTCCTTTGAAATTGTAATAAAAAATCTATATTTATTCTATCTTCCTTGTTATTCGTCATTTTCAAATACATTTTCTTTTTTTGATTTCTGAAGGTTATATTAAATCTGAATATTTAAGCAACATTTTGCATCTTTCAATGAATTAAAAAAACGCCATGTTGCATACCCACACGCTACGAAATGTTACACCATGCTATTGAATATACAGAAAAACGTTAAACATTGATGATTATTAAGTAAAAAGGTGCTAAAAGTAGTTCACTGGGTAAAAAACCCTGAGAAAAAAAACCCGTTATATAACACGATCGACGCGTGTTTCGTCTACTCGACTCATTCTTGGCAATGTAATCAAAACAGCGGGAAGGAAAAATCAAATACGAAGGTGAAGGACATTGAAAATCCAAAATTCAAAAAATGAGTCATCCGTTAGATGAATTTGTATTTTTAGTCATTAGCATAATTTGTTAATATCAATTTATATAAAATCCGAAAACAATAACCAATGAAGCCTTTATTAGAATTACCTGTATAAATCTAAACTTAGTTGCATCTAATTGAAACAGTACAGTTATTCTGGTAGATCTATCAACAGCCAGCCGTTGTAATGAACATCTGATATGGAGACATCTAATATCGTATATGTCATCACATACCTGTATTGTAAATGATGCCTCACTTAAGTTGAGCTGGCAATAATTATGCATGTTATAGTTAGGTCTGATAATTTTTATGACACATTAGTATCATAATTCCTTTAAATTTACAAGTGTGTTAAATCAGTACATTTTAACAAATAAAATATGAAATAGACAAGCTCATATCAGAAAATAACAAGCAAGAAGTATGCTGAAATTCCTTATGTTGATGTCGAGTTCTTGACAATTTTATCCATTATACAACTGAAAACAGACAGTCATTTCTTATAGGCATATATTTTTTTTTTTCGGTTACAGAAGGGGATTAATTTTTACAAGTGGAGCAGGATCTGCCTACCCTCCCGGCGCACCTGAGACCACCGCCGGTTTTTGGTTGGGTTCGTGTTGCCCAGTTTGGTTTTCTATGTAGTGTTTTGGGGGACTGTCGTTTATCTTTTCGTTGTTTTCCTTCCATAGACTGTCGTTTTCCTTAAACAGACTGTCGGTTTTCCTTCCATAGACTGTCGTTTTCCTTCCATAGACTGTCGGTTGTTCTCCGTTTGTCCCTTTGTTATCTTCGGTCTCTTTTTTGTTTTTTATCATTATGCACATTGCAACTTTCTCCGTCAAAGAAAACCCTTGAATTATTTGTTTTCATAAATCGTAGGTTGTCCTAACGTTTGGTTATAAACGTTAACGATTTAGTTAATGCAATTATAACGAGCCAACTTCAGTAATACATGTATGTTTACTTTTGTCCTGGGGAAACATGCTAACTTCACAAACATTGAGCGACAGATACAAAGTGATGACTTCGGTCCTACATGGACATGTACGCACGATGGACCGACAAATGCCAAGTGACGCCTTAACACAGTCCATATGATCCTGGAACGACTGGTACTTTTTGATGACCTCAAAACCTTTAATTAAAACTTAGAGGTCCTTTTACGTAATTGTGTATGTGAAGGTGGTGTCTCTTTAACCATGGAACGACTGTTGCCATATGATAGCTCAACATTTACAACCTGGGCTTAATTCAAGCTATTGAACATTCAACACTACAAGCCTCCGAGTTGTGTCTATAAGATGAAGAACCAAAATTATTGACACAAGAGAAACCAGAATCAGACAAACCGACTAGACCTGACATCAAATTTAGTATCCTCAACAATTTGATTAGGCTGTTAAATTATGGAACTGTTTTTCCCCATAGAGCTGTCAACTATTACGTTAATTATCAACTCTTACAATCGTTTTATATAACTGGATTAGTTTATATGTGTTGGAAACCATCTTTTTTTAAGTTTTACGCAAAAAAAAGAAATTACTATATCCTTCACTGGTGTTACTGTAGACCCTGTAGAACTGGGTGTTGTGATAACATTTCCATCATTGATATTTGGGTTTAGTGTTGAGTTGTTTATCGGCAGAAGTATACAGTCAGTTGTATTACTGCTAGTACCAATCTACAGGATAGCAAAAGTTAAAAAGTAAATAAAATTAGAAAATATTGACCAAATATTACAATGCTTTAAGAAAAATATTACATTTTATAGCAACCTATTAACAAAAAACTGTTTTTCCCTCTAAATGTGATAAGTGCTAGAAATATTTTTAAAACGTTAAGCTTATCCAACAGAAAAGAAACAAAGTATATCAGAATTCTCAATTTCATTTTACCGTATTTACGTAAAAGTTGTGATTCATTAAGACAGCAATCTCCTGCAGATTTTAAATGAATAAATAACTTTGCAGAATAAATGCATGTCAGTTAACTGCTAGTAGTCTGTTGTTATTTATGTATTATTGTCATTTTGTTTATTTTCTTTGGTTACATCTTCTGACATCAGACTCGGACTTCTCTTGAACTGAATTTTAATGTGCGTATTGTTATGCGTTTACTTTTCTACATTGGCTAGAGGTATAGGGGGAGGGTTGAGATCTCATAAACATGTTTAACCCCGCCGCATTTTTGCGCCTGTCCCAAGTCAGGATCCTCTAGCCTTTGTTAGTCTTGTATTATTTTTAATTTTAGTTTCTTGTGTACAATTTGGAGTTTAGTATGGCGTTCATTATCACTGAACTAGTATATATATTTGTTTAGGGGCCAGCTGAAGGACGCCTCCGGGTGCGGGAATTTCTCGCTGCATTGAAGACCTGTTGGTGACCTTCTGCTGTTGTCTGTTCTATGGTCGGGTTGTTGTCTCTTTGACACATTCCCCATTTCCATTCTCAATTTTATTAAAGAAAATAATGTCGTACAGTACAAGCATTTAATAAACAGTACCAATTTTACGACTCAAGATGCACATTTTGACAATTAATGTCTTTTCAGTGATGCTCGAGGTCAACATATTTGAAAATCGAAAGCTTATTTCAAAAGTTGAAGAGCTGATAAAACCAAAAGTGATCAAAAGGTAGAGCAAAATTTATACTTTTATCTTTAGTTTTCTATGTTGTGTTTTGTGTACTATTGTTTGTCTGTTGTTTTTTTTTAGCCATGGCGTTGTCAGTTTATTTTCGACTATGAGTTTAAATGTCCCTCTGGTATCTTTCGCCTCTCTTGATGAGACATTGATTGTCGAAATGCACATCTGGTGCAGAAAATTGGTAACATTTAAGTTATTACTACCACTGGGTCGATGCCTCTGCTGGTGGACTGATATTCCCCGAGGGTATCACAAGCCCAGTAGCCAGAATCGAAGTACTGGCATGAAAATACGGATTTCGTGTTATTAAAATTTTGTGTAACAAAATTTTGGAAATTATTTTAAATACAGGAATATATCTCCCTCAGGCAAAGCTCTGATTCCTTGCCCGGCTTCGGCTATACTTTGTCTTGTTTGGTTTATACCTCTTCATCTTTTGAATAAGCTTTGAATTTTCAAATATTTTGGACTCAAGCATCACTGAAGAGATATTGATTGTCGAAATGCGCATCTGGTGCAGAAAAATTGGCACCGTTTATGTTATTAGGCAAGTAATCAGAACTATGCATGAGGGAAATAATTTTATAACAGTTAATTTCAATGAAATACTATCCTTTCAGTTTACATATCTTTTTCCAATGTTCATACGTATATTTTATGTTCAAAATTTTATCAAGAAAGGTTCTGTTTAGAATAAATATTTTTTGGTAAATATGGAGGATAATGAAGAATGATGAATTCGAATGTCTATTTTCTATCTATTTCTCACTTTTATGGAGGATCCATACAAGACCCTCTCGGTGTTCTTGTATTGCGGAAGCGCTATAAACACTCTTGATGTGACCATTGGACTAGGTCCTGTATTATATACTTCATAAGTATGAATGAACGAGAGATTGTTAGTTGGAAAGGAAACAAATCCTTGCTCTGGTTGACTTTTCCTGAAAGTTAACAAACAATAAGACGTTAAATTGTATGGCATACAACACACTATTTGACGTTAAAAATAAGGATATACAAAGGAAGCAATTAAAACAATTGTTGACGTAGATGGGCAGATGGTAACACTATCGTTACAACAATAAAAAAATCCAAAAAGACAGACTATGTAACGATACACAGAAAAGATTGAACGATAAGAACCCCACCAAAAAAACAGTGGAGAAATTATAATTTTTTTTTAAGTTGATTTTTTTCCAAATGAGTTTGACGGAACTAGTTAACTGCATAAAAGTGGGAGGTTTAGCTAGCTGTAAATACAGGTTGAAGTCACCATTGTCTTCGGAAATGCCAGTACCAAGTCAGAAATATGACAGTTGTTTTCCAGTCTTTGCGTTGGTTGATATAGTCGAGCGTTTGGTTTTGTCATTTTTTATTGACTTCTCCTTTTTTTTTATTTACATTGGCGTTCGATATTTTTATTCTTAAATTTAAGCGGTAATAATGTGTAAATAACCCACAATAGTCAATCTGGCCCCGGCGCCATAAAACTTTTATTTTCTGAGTAAAAAAATATTCTCAGAATGAATTATATTACTCAGTTAAGAATAAGAACTTTTTTCTCTGCCATAAAAAAATATTCTCAACTTTGAGAACATTCTTAGCTGAGAATTTTTTTTCTCAGCTGAGAATTTTTTTCTCAGTGATGTAAGCGGTAAAATAGATGTTTGAAAACTAAAAAAAAATGTACCTAACTTCGCATAAACGCAGGTTTTATTTCTTTGGCAACACTGTAAAACATAAAAAGAATCTATGATAGATAAAATGACAAGTAGCATTTTGTAAGCATCGGTAAATGGACAGAAAGTCACAGTCCTGACAAAAAGTCACAGGATATAAAGTCACAAATAATTTGTGGACAATTGTTTGAAATTATAAGAGAAAGATCTTGATATATTTGAGTTATTAACCCGTAGCTTGTTATAAATATATATTTCTTTTTATATTTTTCATACAACTTCTGTGTTAAGATACACGCATTATAATGATCATGTTTTATAAATGGCGAAATCTTCGAAATGTAATCTCTTGGAATGTAACCTCCGTTGACGTTTACGTGAAGAGTGCTTTCTTTCACGTCCGCACTTCTATCGAGTATGGTATGCCAAATAAACATATTACGGATCAATGACATACATTATGTATTCAGACGACATAAGAAGACACCATGTGACAATTTTTAGCCAATTGTTTATTAAAGTGAAACAGAGCTGCTTTTTTCTCAGATCTACAAATAAAAAAAAAAAAAAAAAAAACATACAAAAAAACATAACAAAAAAAACCAACAAACCGGATATTTTTTATATCAATATGAATGCCAGTAAATAATTTTAATCTGTTTTTAATATTCAAGATATGTAACTTTTAAAATTAACAATAAATGTGATACAGAGTTGAATACGATTTAACAATTATGCAAGTAGTCATAAAAATTGCTCCTCATAATGAGTTTAATATATTGCACAGGAAGAGAAAATGAAGCGTGTTCTATTTTTCCATATTCTGTAATTCTATTGGCCATTTAATCATATCCAGTAAGAAAAGTTTATTCTGTAAATGATTCTTGTTTTCTAATCGTGCATATGGATTTTTTTTCTGTATCAAAGACATATGTATGACGACACTACCCAGTAATACAACCCATCCTCCCTTTCCCCTCCCCCCAATCTGTCACTGTACTGCACAAATGATACATTTATCAATTTTGACTAATATCTGTTTAAAACCAAACAGGGGGGGGGGGGGGGGATTATTTTACTTTCTTTGTAATGATTTGGATATCTGAGATAATAATCAGTAGATAGGGTGACATTACATGTATTTGGTTTGTAGCTATGAGGTACCAGTACTGCAATCTAATTAAGGCAGCTGTAGTAATTTGTAAAAAGAGAGACCTGAAAACTAATAGAAAAAAAATCGACCTCCTGAACTAGATTTTATCCTTGATAGACCAATTGTCCAACAAAATATAAAATATTGCCTATTTATCAACTATTTTGGAGAATATTAAAATATATTTAACATTTATTGGTAGTGAACAAAAAATGCTATACCCCCAAAAATTCAAAGACAATGTTATCCGTCCTCGAGTATCAGTCAAATAGCCCTTACCAAACAATTGAAGTTTTAAATTGCAATGAATTATGGATCTTACAAATCTGAAACCGAAGACGTAGTAAGCATGCTGGCGAAAGAGACTTTTTGATTCTGCAATTCTATTTAATTCCCGTTAATTGTTCATTTATAAATTTTGAAAATATAAAGAAACTGAGGTTTCAACTCCATCGGGCAAAGTTGACCTTCGACTCATTTAATTAGCTATTATTTTAAATAGATATAGGAAGATGTGGTATGAGTGCCAATGAGACAACTCTCCATCCAAGTTACAATTTATAAAAGTAAACCATTATAGGTCAAGGTACGGCCTTCAACACGGAGCATTGGCTCACACCGAACAGCAAGCTATAAAGGGCCCCAAAAAATTACTAGTGTAAAACCATTCAAACGGAAAAACCAACGGTCTAATCTATATAAAAACGAGAAACGAGAAACACGTATGAACTACATAAACAGACGACAACTACTGTAATCATATTCCTGACTTAGGACAGGTGCAAACATTTGCAGCGGGATTAAACGTTTTAATGGTACCAAACCTTCTCCCTTTTCTGAAACAATAGTATAACATCACAACATAGAAAAACACACTATAAAATATCAATTGGAAGGCTTAACTCAATCAAAAAACGTAAATTAACACACAATGAACGAATAAATTTGACCTGTGAAACCTGAATGCAAATACACATTTAATAAAAAAATTACAAGGGATAAATAATTAAAGTCAAAAGTAAATAAACAGGTTTAAACAAAGTTAAAGTATAATATCACTGTGAAATGTCAATTAATTTTTAGAAAATCATCACTTTTGAAGAAACCTGCGTCATATTATACACAGGTAAATGAAAATAATTTTGTTGTTAAGTATACTTCTTCTTCTGTGTGTATAAAATCTTCCGTTTAGGAATACCAAGAAATTTCTTTAATATCAATAAAACTAATCTAACACTTGGTACACATGGGGTGAATATCAACAATAAAACTATACAATTAGTGCTAGATAAAACTTCCTGTACAGGTCCAAGAACAGCATCTAAGGAAAAATGAAATAATTTTGATGTTCATAGTACGAAGAAGTGAAAATTTGTAGTAATACCAGATAACCAAAGCTGGTATATAGACAAGATCCATGTTAACATTAAATAACAAAAAAGCATTACAAATAGTATCAACAGGTCAAATTAAAAAGAAAGTACGATTTGAGAGTACTCGCAGTTACTGACAGCTAGTTAAAAGCCAAAACAATTAATAATAAAAAATCATGCACCAGAGACTAAAATCAACTAAACTACATCCCAGGGATTTAGTATGTTAACGTCATGAACAGTCAAAGAAGACATGACTTGTGCAATGCCAAAAATAAATGTATCGACAGGTAGTAGGATAGTTAGGAGTGACTTCTTTATAGATAAAAATGAAAGTGTGTGTGTCTCTATACATCCCGTTTGAAAAGAAAATACTAATTTAGTTATGTTTTAATTTGCTAATGACAAAATCGATATTAGTGCCAATGTAAACTATATTCAGAGATCTAATTACAACATTGGTACGATAACCCTTACTCATAAGTTTGTTTAAAGGTTCGATGAGTGTACACGGATCACATAATGATTTCCGCGCTTTAAGTACAATATTACCATAAAATTTAGGATGTGAAATACCATTTTTAATAAGTTTTCTACAGGTACAGCCAAATTTACTAATCAAATCTTTGTATCTATGAAAGAATTTAGTAAAAGTTTTAAGTAATTTATGGTAACGAATTCCCTGACTTAATAATTTACCAGTGATGCATTGATTACGTTCGTTAAAATCTATGACATCACTACACACACGGGCATACCGAACGAGTTGGGATATATAAACACCGTATGATGGAGCCAAAGACACATCGCCGTCTAAAAAAGGAAAATTAACAATAGGGAATGAAAAATCGTCTCTTTTGTCGTAAATTTTAGTATGGAGTTTCCCTTTAGAAATTGAAATGTCTAAATCTAGAAAAGGACAACTGCTGCTGTTTATGATGTGTCTCTACTGAGTTTGCTCATAAACTGAGATTCATAGCAATACAGGAATAAATCTGCTATTAAAGGGGCGCAGTTAGTGCCCATAGGAATACCTACTACCTGACGATACACTTTATTACCGAAACGTACATATATGTTATCTAGGAGAAAATTTAAAGCTTCAATCATATCCTCACATTTCCAGTAAGCGTATCTAGCATAAGTCCTTTTGGTCATTTTTCTGATTTATTGTTTTCCATTTGTTTTCCACTATTGCAGAGCTATTTGTTGTCAATGGTCATCTTGGTCTGACCTCTGTCACGAACTGTTTTATCAGTGTTGAAATGTGTAATCATTTTAGACACAATACATGAGAAGGATGCAAGGTTGACTTTGACTGCAATAGGGGACGAAATGATACGTCAAGATTTGTTAACTCCTCATGCAAGATCGTGATTTTGGAGCAAAATACTGATGCTTACGAATGTACAGAAATTGCATCGCTTACGTACATCAATTGACCAATTCCGATTACGACCAGTTCAATTTTTCTTTCGTTTTTCTTTATTTTGTTGGGGGGGGGGGGTATTTTCTATTCTGTAAATCACCTCGTATATCTTGGGTAATTTCAAATAAAGATTTGATATTCAAGCGGGATATATAATGCATAATACTACTAGAGTAGGAGTATCTGCAATGAGAAGCTGTTTAATTGGTCGTATTTTTGTGATCTCTTTTAAAATTCAACAAATTTTTAATTCTCATATGCTTTTTTTATGTTGTATGCTACTAAATTTTTTAATGTTCAAAGAAAATGTTACGGCCATATTTGGAATATTTCTACTATATTGAATTTTTTGATAGTATCAACATTCTTATGCTCATTTTACAAAAATCATACTTATTCATTTATTTCTATGAATAGCAGATGCAGCCTTAAGGACTTTTTTGGTTATAAAAGATATTGGATGCTCTCATGATTATATTAAATGACTTTTGTAGTTGTTAGATTGTTTTGTTTTAAAAAAAACACTATCATTTCTGTTAATAGCATATTATAGAAAAGTGTCTACAGAAAATGAAGAAAAATATTAAAATGGCATTTTCACCTTTGATAGATGCTAATGTAATTCTTTTAATTCTATATTGAATACCTCAGCATTTGGATGTTGGCTTCCAATTATTTTGAGATTCTGGCATCCCATCACATCATTATTTTCGATTAAATATCCGATGCCCACTGAAATGTGGGTGATTTCATACAACAACAAAGGAGCAGTGAAGCTATTTTACACTAGATTTAAAAAGTCTTTCAATCTTTTCTAAAATTCATAGTATCACAGCACCGTATGTACTTTTTTATTGTTCTAACAATAGTATGATTGATTATTTTAAATATATCAACAAATTATGAACCCTGGAAAATTTAAAGCCTGAAACCTCAATTTTTACAGTTTTTGACAAAATTGATATTGAGTACTTATCCTAAAAAAATATATGAAAAAGACAACGTTAACCAAACAAAAAATGTTGGACTGAGTAAAGATGTGTATATATTTTTTTCGGATACAATTTCATTTGTGCAGATTAGTGACGTTCTTCAATGCAAATTTTAACAAAATTTTAACAAAAACCCTATTAACAGTTGTATTTTTTTATATCAAAATACCCTCAATAGCAACATGTAAGATTTTTTTTATACTTAAGTATGGTTTTGGCTATACTCAAATATTTAAGAATATTCTTAAATTTGAGTAAAAAAATATCTGAGAATTTTTTTATGACGGTGTATTTTGCTGAGAATAAAAAAATTGAGAAAATTCTCAGGCTGAGCAAAAAAAAATTACTCAAATAGTTTTATGGCGCCGGGGCCTGATACACTCTCGCATATTTAATATAAAAATATGAAGATGTGGTATGATTGTCAATGAGACAACTCTCCGCCTAAGACCAAATGACATAGAACTACACAACTTCATTAAACATATTATATAATCCTTACCCCGTCACTTGTACTAATGAATGAAACTCAATGGGTACAGCCAGTTGAGCTGCATTATTACCAATATTATTGTCCACACCTGCAGGAACACGAGCTACAACATTCAGTTCAACATTAAGTAGAATGTCTGTAGAATTTAAATCTCCTTGGTGCAAAGACTCAATCGAAACATCAAATATGAGATGAAATATAGCTTTCTGTTGTTGATACAAAACATTTCCACAGTTACAGCTGATAGTTGTATTGTCCATGACCTCTTCGCAAACAACTGGAACAGATCCTCTTTGAAGCAGCGCACGATAAGCAACATATCTAGTGTTATTACTTTGTTTGACAATGACATTTGGAGCAAAGGCCGGTTCATCTCTGTTTTCTAGGACAACTGTTATAATTAATTGTTTAGTTTGACCATGAACAATGTTATGCTGTTGTGTTTGTAGGTTAATTACCAAATCTGGATTACACTGGCCCTTGCAGCCAGTTTGAAATTTTGCCTAAATCAAAGAGGAAAATAGCATAGTGTAACATGGAGAATTAAAAAATACATTGCTTTAAAACTTTTTTAATTATTCATGTGAAATAAATATTATATATCATGCATGCTTGTCTATTTTTCTGATGCGCATGAAATGTGTTTATTTAAATAATATGAAATTTCAAAGTATGTTGAAGAGTACTTTTATGAATTAGATAAGTTTCTTGACCAGAACAGCGAAGGATAGAAAATCCTTAACCTATTTGTCGAAATACAGCAGTGAAACCTTCCAAGAAAAGTTGTTTTGAGTATCTTAAATATTGTTTAAGAGATAAAAATACTGTAAAATTATTTCCCCCCCCCAAAAAAAAATGGTTGTTATTTGAAACTTTATTGGTGATTAAACACTACAGATTAGAGTGATAATTTTGTTTTTAATTACCTTTTTTTCATTTCTACCCAAAGAAGGTGTAATAGAATATTTTCAAGGTGTAGAAACTGTACACATGTTATCTTAAAACTCAATGTCTCTATCTTTTAGTAAAGAAATCACGTTTAAACAAATCATAATGGCTTCCGTAAATTGTTTTAAAGGGATGACTAAAATTTTATCGTTCAGAACCATTGGTTCAATTGCTAATCTCCTTATCAGCAACCATAAATAAACAAAGAAATAACTAATCATAAACGGAAACGCTAGACCTAGAGTGTCACATCAAACGATAGATCGATATATGAATAGTACGGTATGCATGGTGAAGGATTTTATTAGATAGTTACATTCTTTTTAATTTTTTATATTTTGGGGTCAAAAAGTGGCTTTTTAATACCTTCTCCTTTAAAAACTAAATAATTATTATGTCAATAAACATAAGTTTCATCACAGAAAATATTAATGCTTCGACTGAGGTTTGGGGTCATGCCAGTGCTTGGTAAACCTATATTTAATTGCTGACATCTACGTCATTTTGGTCTCTGGTGGATAGTTGTCTCTTTGGCAATCATACCACATCTTCTTATCTATATATTTTACTGTTTCATTTGTATTACTTTGTAGTCTGTTGTTTTCGTCTTCATTTTTCTTGACAATTAATGCTGGTGTCTTGTTCTTTTTTAACATACTTTTGATTGCGACCATGGTTTCTGTTTATTCTAAATGTCATACTTAATTTTTTAGATGTTAACTGTTTTATAGTTAGTCTTTTAGACATGATAGCTTCAATTGAGGTATATACAGGCAAATATGAATAATTTCTTTCACTATTTTATTCTCGGGCTAGTTTTATCTTGCTTGTTTGTTATTATGGTCTGACAGATACATTTGTTTTACTTATCAGTGAGGTACGGTTGTTTACCTTGCCAGATACAATAGTTTTTGAAATAGGATTGAGGACTGGTAATACTTGTCCAGATATTGAGTCTTCTTGTAAACTGTAGTTCATTTGGATAACCATGTCATCCTCTAAGGACGCAAAAAATTGTCTGTCAGCTGCCTATCAATCAGATAAAAAAAAACCATGTATAATCGTTTTAAACATATGTATTACTGTGAAAGGACTTTTATTCGTGGGGTAACTATTTTTGTGGTCTTCGTGGATGGCTTTATCAACAAATTTAAGTGTCCAACGAAATATAACAATGCTGTCCAAATCAAGACATGGAAAGATCTCATTGTAGGTTTCACTTCATGGATTCGGGCATATAATCTAGAGAATCCATTGATATTAGCCAACGCACTATGAAAAATATATATACAACTTCAGACAGGACTTCATCAATTTAATCTTTAAAAACCTAAACTGTACAACTTTTAACCCTTTATTCTCATGGAAAATTAATTTTAGTCGATGAATAAGACTTCTTTGGATGATATGCGATAATAAAATGTTAATTTTATCTACTCATATTAGTTCTCATATGGAAAAAAAAAAATTCATATTGGGCTTACTTTATTATTTTAAAAGAAGTAATATTAATTCCACAATTCAAAGTACATTTGTGGAATTTTTTATGTAACCGTTTTCTTTAAGTGACATGTTTACTGCCCAATTAATACCTTTGGTGATCATTAATCTGTTGATCATTCGATCTCGGGTTAATTAGTGTCATCACTACTGATTATGTGAGCCAAAATTTGTTCCTGTGAAAAAAGTTCCAGTGGAACTTATATCACAGGAAATATGTTCTGGGAGAACTTTTTTCATAGGTAATTTCTATTTAATTTGTTCCATCTCTATAAAATAAGTTCCACACTTTACCTGGTGAAATAAGTACCGGATTGGTGAAATTTGTTCCTTACCTAGTGAAATAAGTTCCGGGTTTATGAGATTTGTTCCTTACCTGGTGAAATAAGTTCTAAGTTTGTGAGATTTGTTCCTCACCTGTGAAATATGTTCCACTGGTTAAACAAGTTATCTTATATACTGAGCATTTCTCATCAGTGAGTTTAAAGTTATCATTCAAGTGCATTATAAAAATAAGTATTATATTAATAATATAATAGATAAAAAGTGTAAATCATCCAGTTTGGATCATATGGAGTATAGCAAATGTTTAATTATATACTCTGTAAAAAATATCTAAATGACACTTTTGAACCAGAAAAGATTAGAATAAGAAAAATCATTCAGAAAAAAGTATAGTTTAAGAGGAACATATGTACTAATTTGAAAAGGACAAAGTGACTTGATCATTTATAAATATCAAAAGACATGTTGAAAAAAAAAGACACACTCTTTTGAAACTGTGCCATGTCCTAAGTACATGTATGACTAGAACACGGGGCCATGACAGTTAACAGGAACCAAGGAGGAATACCGCATAAAACATAAATACAAATTATGATACATTACCATCGCTTTTATTTCTTATCTTCATCCTATAGTTACAGTCATGCCTTCAATTGCAAATGTATCCCATGCAAGTACACTCAGTACAGCATTTAGCTTGCATTATAATTTAAGTGTAACAAGAAAATGTTTCGGTGTGCAATAATGATTGAGCGGAACTTATTCATTAGTTTCTATGAAATATTAACAAGTTCGTTTAAAACTAATGTCAGAGGAACTTATCTAAAACTTTTTGATATTAATTGAAACAAAATTCATGGAGCTATGATTTTTGTTCCGGAACTTATTTAACATTTGGCCAAAAAATTAGTTCCGGAACAAATTTTACTGTGCTGGAACATATTTTCTGTGATATAAATTCCGTTGGAACATATTTCCTATGAAATTTATTCCGGCGGAACAAATGTCACGCCGGAACAAATTTTTTGTTACAATTACACTTGTGTTTAATGTTTAATTTGCAATTTTCTTCAATCGAGACAACTTGTAAGCAAAGATGACTCAGCTTATTTCCGAAAGCAATTATTTTATCAAAAATTTGATGAATGTTGTCGGTAATTAAAGATGAACAAGTAAGCGAAAATGGGCACCTTATTTTGCAATGTCCCATAAATCATTATAAAACAACATATGAGTATTTTAAGTAATTCGTTTCTGATGGCTTCAAATTAGGGATGTCAACGAGTACTCGAGTATTCGAGTATCGCTCGGTAGGACCGAGGATCCTCTTTCGGAATTAAATAGACATCAATGATTTATCATACTGGTAAATAAAATACATTTTGTTTCGAATGCTTGTGCTAAATTGTCATTTAAAATGCCTCCGAAAATACGTGGGCTATACCTAGGCTAACACTTTAAACTAAACATGTCAGCTATTCCGTCACATCGGTACCGTCAGAGCAAATATTTTTGTCTGCACGACTGTAATTTCCAAAGTTGCAAAACCGACTGTCCCCAATAATAGTTGACAAGAAAATGTTTCCATATAAAATGAATTCGTCGCATCTGATGACCCTCAGTGAATAGTTAAACTTCTAATCATAACACCTTTGTAAACATTAAATGTGTTTTCTTAACGATCACCAAATACTATTGTTTGATATTGTTTTTCCTTGTTATAATTTTTAAATAGGTGTTCATTAAATTATGTCGATTAGATTATTGTTTTTACTTAATTAGTACTTGTATGTAATGAGTTATTAATTATGGTGTGTAATTCCTTGTCCCAGATACTTATGTAGATGGTTTATCGTCCGTTGAACAACAAACCATAGAATATGAAGTACGTATGTTTGTGTTTCCGCGTTGTAAATTTATTCCCGAGCACTCGAGTATCGCTCGATAAAACCAGCGAATACTCGATTAGTAATTGTTCACCGAGTTGAGATCCCTACTTCATATTCTTCACTAGATTTTTTCAGAAAACCAAAATCCACGAATTTAATAACCCACGAACATGTAACTTTTGCTCAAACCACGAACATTGAATACTCACGAATGAAAGTACTTTCACAGTTTTGACTGAAATTATCATATTGATATAAATCATCGGAAATACGAAAGTCAGTGGCAAATTTCATTTCATATCAGTTCAGGTCATCGACTGAGAGTTTTATTTGATTAAAACTATATTGGTTACGTTAAAATTCGGTTCTATGCATGTATATCTTTATTATCGATAAACATATTCAGTTTTAAGTTGATAAAAGAATAGGGCTTGAATGAAAGGTGTTGCCAATATAGCGTTTTTTTTTTTACATTCATCTTCGAAAACACCCGATTTTACTTTAATAGTTTAAATAAATTTTGATAAGAGCTAACATTTACAGTTACACCAGACATACTGTCGTCCTTTTTTTCTCAGATATTAAAGATATTTCATTAACATTTCCTATATATCCATTATCGTTCCCCTGACATTGCTAATAGTTTGGACATGTACTTAATTTTGATGCTTGTTACTGGAAATAATTTGTGAACAACATGACGCGTGATATACATACCGTGCTGAAGATACGAACCCTGCGTTACTTCGTTTGGGTGTTCATGCGATTTCGTTTTTACTCCTATCTAAGCCGATTTACATCCATTCTTATTTAATAAATAGGTAAAATAAGTTCATACCAAATTCATTTCTACAGTAAGTTAAGTAGTGTTTTAAATACTTCCTTAATAAGTAATGTTGTAATTTTTGTTTTATATATTCGTAATGGATATATGAGTTTAGATCAGCGGTAAATTATTATTATTATTAATCATTGAGCTGCTGTTTACAGTGAAATAGCTTTAAAAATGTCTGCCTTTAATTCAGTATTATTCTCCTGCTAAGTTAACTGCAAGAAAAATAGAAGACCCGACGTATTTCTACTTAGATTTTCTATATAACTTATATCAAATTGGATGTTTCCGTCCCAATCCAATATACTTTGTGCAAAGAATCCTGTTTAAAAGACGCATAAATAAACTGTGAATACGTACAGTTACTCGAATATGAACCATATCACAAACTTGGCCACCTTTTGTGATGATTAATTTTTGTCTGTATAATTCTCTTACTGCCGTTGAATTGTGAACAATAAGAACTCTGTTGGATTTCCTTTGTTTTGTTCTGTCTGTATCAGCATGCAGATGATAATTCACCTCTGTAATTGTATATTATAAATGACGATTAAATTTCGTTTAAGCAGCCCATCTCCACCAAGCCCCCCAAAGCGATTATTACTCCCATTTACTTCTTAAATCGCATTTTATAAAAGGCAAAATTTTACTTTCTGCAGGAATTTTTATCACCAAGTCTAAACTTGCACTAAATGTAAATTTCTGTCGGACCTAAATACATATCTGTCATTTTTCTTGATTAAATTACATTTCTTGCACTGTACATGTGTTAATACGGTGTCAATACCACTTCTAATGGACTATTAGTCTCCGAGGGTATCATCAGCTTAGTAGTCTGTTCCTCGGTACTCCCATGATTTATAAAAACTTTCTTTAATTCTCCTGTGATATATTTAGAAATAATCACGAAAGTAAGGTTCTTATTCCCGAAGGCAAAGTTGACTTTAGATGGATTTGGATATTATTTTTTATGTCACTTTAAAAAGTGACGAACGCCAAACATTTATAAACTAAGTCAACAGTACTTCACCGATGTTTCAAATCTAATAATGAGTTGTTTTCATTACTTAAATTGTGTGAAAATTGAGCGTGAGACTTCGTTTTAAGCCCTATATATTCAACTTCCCTAAATACTACACAATTTAGACCTTATACATTTAACTCACCTGTTTATTCCATAAAAGACATACATACCTATTTTATCAACTGAATCCAATTTTGTTCCATTGAATGAAAAACATAGGGTTACAGATGTACAAGGTTCCACGCTAGTCCCATCAGAGCAATCGAGTGCACTAGAATTAAGTGGAATTGGAGAAGGTAATATCTGCATACGGGGTGTGACGACTACAACTGGTCTAGACCGGAATAATATCATTTTATTGGCAATTGGCGAACCTATTGTAAAGTCTGTAAATAAAATAACATAATTACATTCGATTGTGACATCACCAAATGAGACCCATCACCAAATGAGACCCGTCATCGAATGAGACCATCACCGAATTTTGTTCATACCATGAGCAGCACGACGTACCAGTAGTTGAGCAGGATATGCTTACCATACCGGAACAACTGCGATCAACCCCATATTTTGGTAGTGTACGTGTTGCTCAGTCTTAAGTTTTCTATGCATTGTATTGTGGACTTGTTTGTCTTTTTGTCGATTTTGATTTTTTTGAAAATTTTAGGAATTTGGGGTTCTCAATGCTCTTCTACCTCGTACCTCGTACTATTTGGCCTTTTTAATTATTTTTATTCGAGCGTCACTGATGAGTTTTTTCAAGACGAAACGCGCGTCTGGCGTACAAAATTTCAATCTTTGTATCTAAGATGAGTTTATTTACAACCACTGGGTTGATGCCACTGCTGGTGGAGTTTTTGTACCCGAGGGTATCACCAGCAGTCAGCACTTCTGTGTTGACATGAATTGTCATTGATATGGTCATTATTATAAATTTACAATTTACAAAACTTTGGATTTCCGAAATACTAAGGATTTTCTACCCTAGGATTAGATTAACTTAGCTGTATTTGGCAAAACTTTTAGGATTCTTTGGTCCTCAATGCCCTTCAACTTCGTACTTCATACTTTATTTGGCCTTTTTAACTTTTTAAATTTTGAATAGAGCGTCACTGATGAGTCTTTTGTAGGCGAAACGCGCGTCTGGTGTACAGAGTTTCAATCCTTGTATCTATGATGAGTTTATTGTCAATTTATTTCGATTTAAGGTTTTGAATGTCTTACAAAAAATTATGATTTTCATTTTTTTCTGTTATTTTATTCCAGAAGTCTTTTACAAATTCACAATCGTTGAAAAAATGAAAAAATGTTGATAATCATTCCCTTTTTATATTCCTTCTCTTTAATTTGATATTCATTTTAGATTGTCTTTTAGAACGTACTTTTAGTTTACTTTACCGTGATAAGGTTTCGAGGTTCTATATCGTTGTTTTATTTATAGGTAAGTATAATGTGATAAGGTTTCGAGGTTCTATATCGTTGTTTTATTTATAGGTAAGTATAATGTAATAAGGTTTCGAGGTTCTATATCGTTGTTTTATTTATAGGTAAGTATAATGTGATAAGGTTTCGAGGTTCTATATCGTTGTTTTATTTATAGGTAAGTATAATGTAATAAGGTTTCGATGTTCTATATCGTTCTTTTATTTATAGGTAAGTATAATGTGATAAGGTTTCGAGGTTCTATATCGTTGTTTTATTTATAGGTAAGTATAATGTAATAAGGTTTCGAGGTTCTATATCATCGTTGTTTTATTTATAGGTAAGTATAATGTAATAAGGTTTCGAGGTTCTAGATCGTTGTTTTATTTATAGGTAAGTATAATGTGATAAGGTTTCGAGGTTCTATATCGTTGTTTTATTTATAGGTAAGTATAATGTGATAAGGTTTCGAGGTTCTATATCGTTGTTTTATTTATAGGTAAGTATAATGTAATAAGGTTTTAGGTAAGTATAATGTAATAAGTTTATAGGTAAGTATAATGTAATAAGGTTTCAAGGTTCTATTTACCACAACTTACCTGAATATAAGTTTGAATCCATATCATGCGAGTTGCTTATAAACAAACCAAAATTCTTCATTCCGGAATCAATATTTTTTCCGTATATTTTCTGTGAATATTTCATCTTGACTTCACCAGATTTTCCGCTGTATATGTAGACTACACCAGATGCCTCGTATGGAGCAGCTATTGCTATATCTTTTCAATATAAGAAAAAAATGTACACAAAATATGCATGTTGGAATTTAAACTCTCTTACGTTAAATGGAGTACTTTCCTTTCAAGAGAACTGTTTTTTAATTACATTTTAACGGAGTTCACAGTACCCTATTCTTAGTTGCAGAATTCTTTGCTGGTCTTCGTTCGTTTGATTAGCTTCGACTAATCGTTTTCCAATGAATTAATGACAGAGAAAATTCCTTCCATAATCATCAATTTATTACAGTATTTTTTTCAGTATCGTTTGTTGAATGTAATCGTTAAAAAACAGCCATAAATAAATACTGGTTTTCAGTCATAACCTACCATCCACACCATCTGCATTTATATCACCAAGATTTACCATGGAAGTTCCAAATCTACCACCAGGGATATTGTCACCAGACAGTGTAGCATTTATTGGATTCAAAATGTCCATCTGAAAGTAATTCAGTTAATTTTTCTATCATATTGCATTTAGATAATGTAGGTATTAAATTTTAACATTTTGATAATCTTATTCAAGTAGAACTATTGATAAAAACAAATATTTAAATTATTAAAAAATTTGGAACTAATAAAAACTCTTCTGGAATATCCATTAGTTCTTCCTGTTTTGTTTAGATATGTGTGACTGTCCATAGCTATTTTCATGTTATATTCCAGTATTTTTGTATAATCAATTTCGTCTTTATTTCATTTTGATTTCATTGAAGATGTACAAAAGCGATTTCGTATATAAAATGAAGATGTCCACCTACATTTCCAGTTCCAAGGAAGATATACACCGCTCCAGTGTCAGCAGTAGCTACAGGATTCCGTTCTAAATACTGAAATGGTGCTGCGACCATTATGTCATCCTTCCCATCTCCATTATAATCACAGACAATAACATTGTATCCAAACCCTGAACCTATCTGTCAATATCAGTTCACAAAAATAAACAATGTTATAAATTTGAACATAAATTGAACAGAGAGACTTATAAATTTTCCCCTTTAATATAAATTTTAATTTTGCAAAGATCAGAATTTGAAGCTTTTAAATAGATAGTATTTTTAAAATGAGATGTAAGCCGTTATTTTGGTTTTGTTTTCGTCTCTTTATTTTTATTGTCATATGGATTTTAGACTTTTGACATATGTTTTAAAAAATGAAAAAATAGATAAGTACAGTGTAAAAGATATTAATATTAAAAACTAATAAGTTTTATACTATGGCTACCAGTCCCAATTATAAACGAATACATCCACCCCCTTTTCTGTATGCACAAGACAATATTACTTTTAACTAAATAACTGCTAAAATAAGATAAAGATAAGAGCTCAATGTTTTATATAATGTTAAAATATTATCGTAAATCTCATCGACAAATGGTATATATTATTTGATTTCTTTAGGGAAAACATCTATTGTTTTTATTCAAATCTCCATGGTAACGACATACCCCTTTTGGCCTCAGGGTCAAATCCGCCCATCACCCCCTAAAGGGAAAAGAAATACTGTGAACCAACTTATGTTTGTGGATATTATATTTCGCGATTATTCCTTGCTAGCAGAATGCGCGCAAATTTATTTTTGTAATTTTATACTTTCGTTGTATTTGATTTATATATAATAAGGAAGACCAAGTTTGACATATTCGTGTTTATTTATAATCGAGTTATTTTTCTACTAGCGAAAGTCGCGAAGTTGGTTTACAGTATCGTTTTAAACTAACTAAATATCTGCTTTATCATGTAAAATATTTTTATTTAAAAAATATTTTGACATGAATACACAAAAGAAATTAGAAAGTGCAATTATTTTGGTTCATACAGTACGTTGTAAAGACATATATTTTTCTGTGGCATTTTTAACAATCTGCTTTCTACTTTTAACTTCAAATTTTACCTGTTTTCCAAAGAATTGCTTTGAAATGTCCATGTTCAAGTCAAATCCACATACTAACACTACCTGAAATTTTAAACTTCAAAAAATATAATTATCTTTAAAATTTTCCCTCTTTATTATATATGTGAACTTCCACATGTCCTTATAATACCGTACTGTAAAACAAAATTCAATTATAAATATGTAAATCAATTCGGGTTCTGCATTTGTCGAAAATGAGAGCAAACATTTATACAAAAAAAAGTGCTGATTTTTGCGCAAATTTGTAATGATAATTTTACTTATAAGCAAACAATCAAAACATTTCCTTGAAGATCTTTCTCTCTTTAAAAAGAGTAATATTTTTTTTTACTATGATAATTGATTTATTGGTCTAGAGTAATTAAAAAGAGTAATTCATAGCGGTCAAAACTGTACATAAGTAAAATGGAACAAATCATAACGCCTTGTATTTGGAGTTGATATCGATTCGCGTATTTACAGTTTTAATCCCAATTAAAAGGTTTCATAAAATGTAATAAAAAAGAGGCGAAAGATACCAAAGAGACATTCAAACTCATAAGTCGAAAATGAACTGACAATGCCATGGCTATAAAAGTCAAACAGACAACATAGAAAACTAAAGACTGAGCAACACGAACCCCACCAAAAACTGGAGGTGATCTCAGGTGCTCCAGAAGGGTAAGCAGATCCTGCTCCACATGTGGCATTCGACGCGTTGTTCATGTAAGTACAAACCAGGTGATAAGTCTAATTCGGTAGGTCACATTCGTGGAAAAGGGGACGGGATTGTAGTTACGACAATTGGAATATATTCGTTGTCATCTGTGAAACAGATATTCCATAACGGTCAACCAACTCGTGATGGGGTCCGTAAAATTTACGAAGGAACGATTTCAGCTTCACCACTTGAAACTCTAGGTTTAAAAGCTTCCTTTTGAGCAGCAACCTTCTATCAAGGAAATAATGATAGGAAATACAAGCCCTGGAATATCGTATCAACTGGGAGATATGTACTCCGTATGCAGGTGCTGCTGGAATGTTGCTAAATAGAAATGAAAAGTTCACAATTGGGAAGCTGAAATCATCTCTTTTGTTGTCTTCAACCGACCCTCATAGTCAATTTCTAGATTTAAGTCAAGATACGAGGCAGACTTAACTTTATCTTTTATATCCTTTATCTCAAGTTCGATGGGATAGATGTATTGAAATTCTGTACTTATCTTTATTTGGAGCTTTCCACACATCATGTTTTCTGCACTGTTTATGGGGAGTCTGTATGAAGTCTACTCAGAAGTACAGTTGTCGATATTATATTTAGGTAGGTATGGTTTCAGACTATTTACATATCTGTCTATTGTAATGTCTATGTAATGCAGTGTAGGATTTGTTTAAGTTTGTGTTTGCTTATTGACTTGTAGTGTAACTTGGTTAAGGATTAACTTGGATGAGTCTACTAATGTCTATTTATAAATAAGCAATTGTGATGTACTAGTTTTTACAATGATCATGATTAGTATATATATATATATATATATATATATATATATATAAGACAGATTCTCACCATAATCTAAAACTTCAAGCTATATCTATAAGTGACTTTATCGCCTTATACACGTAAAAATAGGTTTTTTTTCTTCTAAATATAGGTAAAATTGGGAGAAATGAATGGGGATGATAGATTCACAACGACTAGTTTCTTTTTATTTAAGTGTAAAATCAATTTGTCTATAAAAAAATATATTATTGTGGTCGACAGGACATCATCACTGCAAACAAAATTTCGTCTAAACGAAACTGTTTAGTATCTAATTAAGTCAATCTTAAAATATATGTCATCTGAATAGATATAAGAAGATGTGGTATGAGTGCCAATGAGACAACTCTCCATCCAAGTCACAATTTGTAAAAGTAAACCATTATATGTCAAAGTACGGCCTTCAACACGGAGCCTTGGCTCACACCCAACAGCAAGCTAAAAATGGCCCAAAAAATGACTAGTGTAAAACCATTCAAACAGGAAAACCAACGGTCTAATCTATATAAAAAACGAGAAACGAGAAAACACTTATGAACCACATCAACAAACGACAACCACTGAACATCAGGTTCCTAACTTAGGACAGGTGCAAACAAATGCAGCGGGTTTAAAAGTTTTAATAGGCGCCAATCTTCACCCTACCCGAAACAATAGTGTAACATCACAACATAGAAAGACACACTATAAAATATCAATTGAAATGGCTTAACTCAATCAAAAGACATATTAACAAAAACAAGTGAACATACACTGAACGAATAAATTTAATCTATGATACAATGTAAATACAAAATTAATAAAACAAGGGGGTTAGATATAAAACAATATAAGAAAGAGAACCATAACATTGGACAAAATGCCGCCAAATGAAATAACGTACACAGGTAAATAAAATAATTTTGTTGTAAGGTATACATGGAGTACGGAAATAATTTTTACAAAATAAATAATTTAGTTGTTCCTAGTACAAGAACAAAAGTGAAAATTGATCGTCATGCTAAACACTTATCAAAGGTGGTATATATTAAAAATAGTGAGACTAGATATAACACTGAATAAGTAAACAATAAATAACAAAAATACATTACAAAAGTATCAACAGGTCAAATTAACACGAAAGTACGATTTGAGAGTACTCGCAGTTACTGAAAGCTAGTTAAAAGCCAAAAACAATTAATAATAAAAAAAATCATGCATCAATGACTAAAATCAACTAAAACACAACCCAGTGATTTAGTGTTTTAACGTCATGGACAGTCAAAGAAGACATGACTTGTGCAATGCCAAAATAAAAGTATCGACAGACAGTAGGATAGTTAGGAGTTAACCTGTTAAAAAATACGAATAATGTAATACATAGATAGAGTAATCTCTTATATAGAAAATGAACGTGGATGTGTATTTATACATCCCAAAAAAACTTTTGAAAAGAATACAAATTTAGTTCTGTTTTAATTTGCTGATGACAAAATTGATATGTGTGCCAATGAACTCCATTTTGTGGTAGATAGAAGGACTCTTCTTTATGCATATCAAATTTCAATTCTGTTCATTACATTTTCAAATCAGATAAAGGACACAAGGTTTGTGCGGAAGCTAGTTGTATTCAAACCCATTACTTCTCCTGGGCATGGCTGTCCAACAGTTATCTACCGGGCATGCCCATCAATATGATCAGAATGTACGTACCGAACTCACATGACTATCTGTACCAATGAAGAAACTTTGCATGCCCATCAATCTGATCAGAATGTACCTACCGAACTAACATGATTATCTGTACCACTGACGAAACTTGGCATGCCCATCAAAGTGAATAGAATGCACCTACCGAGTCCACATGACTGTCTGTACCAATGACGAAACTTGGCATGCCCATCAATAAATGCTCAGATTGTACTAACCGAGCCCACGCGACCATCTATACCACTTGCAACACTGGGCATGCTCACCAATCTAATCAGAATATACCTACCGAGCCCACATGACCATCTGTACTACTTGCAAAACTTGGCATGCCCATCAATATGTGATCATTATTACAGCTGAATAACCCAGAAAAATGTCCTACAGCTATTGAATATCCTGAAATTATATAGTTTATAATTACGCACAAAGGCAATGTATGTTCGCTTTTTGAATAAGAACAAACCATTTCTCTTAGATATTTTATTTAATTAACTGCTAGAAAATGAGAATAATGTATAGAAAAAACATTTGGAGCCTATGCTTTAAAATAGTAGAAGCGGTATATGATTTCAAATGAGACAACTATCTCTTAAGACCAAAGAACAACGATGTAATCATATAATTTGTAATTCTGTTAATACACTTATCATACACTTTATTAAAGACGTATTAAATGTACTTTATTTCAGTGTACAAACCACTAAGTTCCGGAATAATTTTCATTTTTGTATATTAGTACTGTATTCATTTATTTGTCTTACAACCTTATACGGAAATATTTGCATGACAACTAACTGTTCCCATCATTTTTCACAATCAACCATTTAATTCAGTTTACATTAGTTGCAATAAGTTAGTTTATATATAAATACCCATATAAGACTGCTGTTCAAAAGATTTAGTGTCTTGACCATCCTCTGCTTTGTAGATGTGATACCCAGACTGGCTTACGTTGAAACTCACATATCCACCTTTAAGGAAAAGAAAAAAGACGGTGATAGAGCAAAATAATCCAGATGAATGTCAATTAGTTAAAAGAACGTCCGTTTGTCGCGATAGTATTACGTACAAATAGAAGACAAGGTTAGATTTTATTGAAATAGTAAAATGACATGAACACTTGGTCAAAACGAAATATGAATTATAAATTTGTTGACATTACCTAGGATAAGTCATTGTTTAACCATTGTCGTGACGTCAGCCTATTCATTTACCGTGGATTCTTTTTCTCGAATCAACGCTTCCTAAATCTGTCGCTTAAATGGACTTACCAAATTATATTCAATTGTTTCCTTTGTGTGCCTAATTTCATTAAGTTTGAACTGGCCAATTTACTGATTTCTGTTCACCGATGGAATTAATTTCAAAACTTACCTTTATTTTTTGGAATTTATATATGCCTTTACTGGGAAACGAATCCCTCATTGAAATCTGTTGTGTGTGACTGACATCAACGAAACCTCTCGGCTAGCATGGGTTGCAATTGTCTAGTTTATGTATATAAATGAACATATGATACACATCGGTACAACGGACACACAGGGCTTGTACCGTTATGTATACATAATAAACAATCGTATAGTGATAAGTTGGTAGAGCAATGTTTAGATAATAGAAAAACAAAGGATAGTGGGTATCCATAGATAAATGAATTGATTATCAAGAGAAAAAAAAGATGGATGAGTTGAAGAGTCAAGTTAGAAGTAGGAATTTGTCGGTTTAGGTTCGAATCCCTGTTTTCTCTTTGTTGTCCCTTTTCTTTAGTTTGTCCGTTTTTCTTATGTTGAATGTCATTATTGATCTTTTTGTAATAAAAGCGGGTTTTCTCGTTTATTTTTGGATTATTATTGGCTGTTTCACGTATTTCAAAAGAAAATGATTACATTCAATTTGTCATTTTTTTTTTATAAATATAGTATAATTTCATCTGTTTTGAAACATATCTTTACAAATGTATATTCGCAAATCCCTATGCTAGTAAATCGTGATGTGCATAGAGTTAGGTTTCTTGCTAGAAATTTCGGTAACATACATATTATATATACTTAGAAATTAGATCAAAAGTTTAAATAATAGACACAATGGATAAGTCTTGGATCGGTTAAAAGAAACCATTCACCGTCCGGGTTCATGGTTTCTTTTTAACGAACCAACGCTTATCCATCGTATCTATATTTTAGATTTCACCATAATCGTCTGATCTGTAATTTTACTTATTGTGTCCTGTTCCCGATTGTGACATTTTGACTGAATGTGAATTCGCATGACGGGTGATGTATGCATAGCAGGAAATTACCACGATAACTTACCTTGTCATGCTCCTTTAGGAGCTCATGCGATTCCCTCAATTTTGGTTCGTTACCTTGATTTATTGCTTCTTGAAGGATTGAAGAGATTTGAAAATTAGAAACTACTTTCGCCTTAATTAACCGTTCCAGAGTAATGGCACTTAAATTTTGGAACAATTAAAAATGTTGTGGTTTCCGGGGAAAATATAATCTTTCGGTTGCTGCGGGCGGGGTATCTGTGATCACTTAATCATCTCTAGTTTTCTTTTTCATTCATTCCTGATATGCACTAAAGATAATTGTTTTTATCAGTTTTCTTACCTTTATCATTCATTCCTGGAGCACCTAAGATAGCCACAGGTCTCTTCTGAAATATCCAGTGAACTATATTGTTTCGTATCATAATTCACACTTGCAAAGCCGGCATTATAAATTAATTTCTTATATAATACTAGTATGTTATTTCTTGGGAATTAGTAATTAGTCGTTCTTCCCATTCAAGCAATATAATAGAGTTCAAGTTTCTACTACTAGTAATTAAAAATCGGAAATGCTTATGGTGTACTACCTGCATAACACGAGATCTCAGGAATTTTTTCCGCAGTATACCTTGTATAAGATAAACCCCCTACCAGAGAGGGACCTGTTGTAAAAGACTCCGTTACTCTTATTTTTTTGCCCTTTTAATAAGTATGGCTGTTACCTTTATCAATAAGTCTATAAATCGACTAAACACGATTTTTAAAGACAAGTGTTGATTACTTTTGCTTTGTGTTCAATATAATCATAAAGGTATGTATATATACTATAAAAAGTAAAATAACAAAAATACCGAACTCCAAGGTGACGTAATACTAACCTTAGATCTGGCAATGCTAAATCCGATCATACCAAATGCAGCAATATAGCCATTTCTAGAATACAAATCACTAGAAGTGAATGGGAACCCACGATTGGTATCCACGTTTGTTCTCTTGATCACGTGACAACGACCAACAGTATATTCGACAAAGCCGGGAAATTTCCATAGATGAGCACAAACCTGCAATATTTTTTAATATCAAAAGAAATAACATAAAATAAGATGGAACGGTGTAAATTTCAACATGTTTAAAGATGAAGACACGAGGTGGGACGTTTTTATAGAAAACTATATATCAAACGTATAAAAGAAAATGATGAAAGTTCTTACCATAGTTAGTTGCAACTTGAGAACCATATATGTAGTTCTTGTTTATATGTGAGATGAAGAAACTCTGCTACTATCCGTTCCCAGTTTTATGTTTCTCTACACTATACCTAATCTAACGCGAAAGAACCACTGCCAGTGTTCAGTTGTTTATGTTGTAAGAGTTGCCATTATTTTATTATCCTTATGATGCTTTATTTTTTAGTTTGGATGTTAGATTCGAATATAAAAGAGATTTTGTTTTCAACTAGTTTTTTATCTAGACGTTCATGTGCTTGTTTAGATTACGTTCATTGCAAAATATTGACACCCAATTTTCTTGAGCTTTCGCTGAACTTTTAAAAAATATTGAAATATTTAAATAGTGTTTATTAGTAAAGTGTTCTGTGAATGGTATCAACTTGTCACTGTAACACACTGTCCTTGACAATAATTCATTGTGATTTCTGTACAGGACAATATTTCACAATGAAATACTGTCCATAAAAATATGTCCTTATCATAGAATCCTTCTCCATGAAATTGTGAAATTGTTTCTGGAACCTTTGAAAGGAATGTGTATAACTATGAAATGCTGCATCAAATAATTCATCTAACAATACACAAGCATGAAGCATTCAAACACATTTTTATACTGAAAATATTTTGTAAGGGAAGTATTTAAAATATTAAACAACGGTATACTTTATCATAAGCTAATTCAAATTTGCATTAATAAATGATTAAAGTCAAATATTTTTATTGTACATTATTATACGGTTTTGATATAAGTAAAGTTCTGACAATCACATGAGTCTTTTGTAGACGAAACGCGCGTCTAGCATACAAAATTGTGTTCCTTGAATCTATGATGAGTTAATGATATTATATTTGTTTGTTATTATCAATAAAATAAAACACTTTATATCATTGTCCAAAATATTAATTTTTATAATCTCCCTTTCACGATACAAACTTTCATAACAATCAATCTATAAAATATTGTCTCAATATACACAATTTATAACTTTTGATATCTTCCCTTTAACTCTTGGAATGTTTTTACCGATGGATACATATACAAAATATAATGATACATAATCATGAAATATTGTCTTGGAGGGACAATATTTCAAATCAAAGGACAGTATTTTGTTATACACGTTATATCCTTCGTAGCGTATGGGGAATTTGCTTGAACTTATATGAGTGAGGAGAAATGGTCACGTCATCAATACGACATTGAAGACCAAAACAGATGCCCAAAAGAAAAAAAATATATTTAGGTAAACTTAAAGGTCTACATGGAAAGCAGATATACTACGACAGTTACATCAATTTAAGCATCTGTCCAACATCCTAATACCTCCTTTGAGGATCGTCACGATTACCTTAACCTGTCATAAAGTCTCAAAACACGACAGATACGGCACCAAAAGCAGGAATACTATATCAGCCGTTCTCGTTTCCTGCAATTCCTACGCGAGTGAATATGCATGGTAAAACTAATAACAAAAGCAATGAGGTCCTCTTTAGGAAAACTGCCACAGTGTTAACATTAGCTACAAAAATCTCAGCATTTGACAAAGAAAATGAAACAACTATGCGTAAACTAGAAACTGCTATAAAATCTACATATGAAAAACCGGAGGTCTCCAAACAATCTGCAATAGATTTGACGGGAAAGGAACCACAACTACACCAACAGGGTAGTTGTTTATGATTCCGAGTATTTACCAACGATGGACTTTGTAGCACCATCGATTTAAAAACAGATGACCGAATATAAGGGTATTTATAATTTAACTGGTTATTTTCTGGCGCCTTAATATGACATTCCCCAAGCCAAAACCTATTCAGTCCAGGGTCCACCTTACAATTAAGAAAGATGCAAGATTAAACCATCATGTATATTGGAACAAATGACATATTCTAATGATAACAAAATCCAAACAATTACAAATAAAATTATACTGCAATATTTCGCCTTCTTCAAACACATTTGACATAGATAAAAAATCAATTATCTAATTTAAATACCCCACGCTACGATTAACAAGGATTCACTCTTAAATAAAAAAGATATGCCATTGACCGATTCATTCAAACAGCTAGGACCAACCTCATTTATTCAGTATGAAATGGAAAGATAGTTATTTTTCCCAGGCAAATTGTTTAGCAGTACTTGGCCTTCTGAACTATCAGCTTTACTTATTTCAGAATTTCAATAGTTTTTGGAGAACTTTGCCCTGTTGTTGTTGCCTCGCTAATATGGAATCACTCTTATAGAACAAGAAATATATTATGTTACGCCATGACAACGAAACAATCGTCAATTAGGTTCATAATTGCACATCTAAAATGCCTTACTCCGAAGAGGCTGTGGAAATTTCATCAGAAGATGATACAACTATCGATGATGATGATGGTGATGTACCTCAGGATGGTGAAGAATCACCACCGGTACAAATCAGACGTTCTGGAAGGGAACGAAGACCACCTGCTTGGTTTCAATCCGGACAGTTTAAGACTAGTATGTCTGCTCTTGAACCGACTAGCATTCAAGAGTGGCGACAGAAAGCTGACTACATCTCGTCTTTGGTCCGCACATACACAAAAATGTTTTAATCGGCATCACGCCCTTGTTCTTTCATGACCAGAATTGTCACTATTTTTATCACCTATCGAGCATTTATGGGATGAACTTGTAAACGTAAAAAAGAGGCGAATGATACCAAAGGGATATTCAAACTCATAAGTATGTTAAACTATATTCAGGTTCGCTCCGGTGTGACTTTATCAGGTGTTTCAATTAGGTTTTATTGGTATTGATTAGTTCTCAATAATTTGGCGGGAAGTTTATATTCTAGCAACTTTGTGATGATGGACACAATTTTCTTGTCTTTAAAATTGTATTATTTTATTCTGTTTTGGAGTAAAGACAATCGCCTAAATCGCTACTCTGGAAAAATGTAACAACATACCCAACTTTATCAATAAAATAAATGCTTCGAAGATGTAAAGCTGTAATGCGTCAAGAGGAGGTAATACCTGATATCAGCTACATCCCACAAAATAAAATTGAGGAACCGAACGGTCTTTTGTACATCTTCAGATTGTAAACATTTTCACATATTTTTCGGTATTTATACATCTTTAACTTTTAAATATTTGAAAAAAATTGAATATTTGAATATCAGTTTATTTCTGAAACTCAGTTGACATTATCATTATTTTAATTATGTAACACAGCATGTAGTTTTGATTTATTTGTGTATATTGTATCTAATTTAACAAGGAGACAGATTACTAAAAGCACTTGTTGTTTGTTTCTGAATCCTATTTGTGAATGTGAATTTATATTGTAATTTGTATAATTGATAATAAAATATTGTTTACACTAAATATTTGGCTTTGAGCGTTCCTGATGAAGATAAATCCACGTACGCCTAGAATTTCAAACTGTTATTTTCAGTTTTATTGTGTTTGTTCTATTGTTGGTGATTATGTTTGTTATGTTTAAATATTAATTATGATTAATTTGTTTTAAAAATATTGATTCTAAGGTCGTGTATGTTGTTTTTTGTTGTTGTTAGTAGATATAGGAAGATGTGGTATGAGTGCCAATGAGACAACTCTCCATCCAAGTTACAATTCATAAAAGTAAACCATTATAGATCAAGGTACGGCCTTCAACACGGAGCATTGGCTCACACCGAACAGCAAGCTATAAAGGGCCCCAAAACATTACTAGTGTAAAACCATTCAAACGGAAAAACCAACGGTCTAATCTATATAAAAACGAGAAACGAGAAACACGTATGAACTACATCAACAAACGACAACTACTGAACATCAGATTCCTGACTTAGGACAGGTGCAAACATTTGCAGCGGGATTAAACGTTTTAATGGTACCAAACTTTCTCCCTTTTCTGAAACAATAATATAACATCACAACATAGAAAAACACACCATAAAATATCAATTGGAAGGCTTAACTCAATCAAAAAACGTAAATTAACACACAATGAACGAATAAATTTGACCTGTGACACCTGAATGCAAATACACAGTTAATAAAAATTTACAAGGGATAAATAATTAAAGTCAAAAGTAAATAAACAGGTTTAAACAAAGTGTATATTAGATGACTCGATTATGTCATTTATGTAGGTTTATAATATTCTTAATAATAAATCTCACCACTATATTTCCGTTTATATCAACCATACTTCCTCCGAGAAATTGATTGTCTTGAGTATGTGTTTCTGGATGAATAAAAATAACTTCAATAGATTTTTTGGTGAAAGATTGTACAATTATGAAAATAATAAGATGTGGTATGATTACTAAAAAGACGACTCTCCACCAGAGACTAAATGCCATAGATGTTAACAACTATATGTCACCGTACGGCCTTCAACAATGAGCAAAACCCATACCGCATACTAAGCTATAAAAAGACCACAATTAATGACCACTTTTTTCGTTGTAATATAGTTCCCTTTAATAATAGTGTATTTTTTCTTTATTTTTTTCTTTCCCTTTGTCATTCGTTTGTAAGTTTTTATGTAATAGAAATGAAAGAAGAGAGTTGAAATAAAGTTTTGGATGTTTTATTTTTACTGATTTTGATATGGAAAGAGTGATTAGGCCAGGTGCTAAAAGGTAATACTTACAGTTTTTTGGAACATCTCTTGACTTGTCCATAGGCGTATGGATGTTTATTGGCTAAATTTTTGAGCCCAATTTTTCTGAATGTTGGATACATTTTTGGACTTGTATTGTAAATTACACACACAAAAGATTAGTCAAAACAAAATGATGCGATTTTTTGAATTTGACAAAACTTTATAAAGAACAAATAGGGAAATTAATTGTTGTCTTTTGCATAAAAAGGCCCCCGAAATGATAAATGTAAAACAATTCAAACGAGAAAACTAACGGCCTGATTATTGGTCCAAACAAAATGATCGAAAAACAAATATGATATAGAGCAACAAAAGACAACCACTGAATTACACTATGACAAAACTATCAAATTCAAATGAAAAGGCTTAATCAATGTGTCTATATTGTTGGCGCTAAATTGTGTTTTCAATTTAACCAACGAGTTTGTACAATAGATATTAGAAGATGTGGTATGAGTGCCAATGAGACAACTCTCCATCCAAGTCAAAATTTATAAAAGTAAACCATTATAGGTCACAGTACGGTCTTCAACACGGAGCCTTGGCTCACACCTAACAGTAAGCTATAAAGGGCCCCAAAAATTACTAGTGTAAAACCATTCAAACGGGAAAACCAACGGTCTGATCTATATAAAAAACGAGAAACGAGAAACACTTATGAACCACATCAACAAACGACAACTACTGAACATCAGATTCCTGACTTAGGACAGGTGCAAACAAATGCAGCGAGTTTAAACGTTTTAATGTTACCAAACCTTCACCCTTTTTCTGAAACAATAGTGTAACATCACAACATAGAAAGACACACTATAACATATCATCTGAAATAGCTTAACTCAATCAAAGGACATATTAACACCAGTGAACATACACTGAACAAATAATTTGACCTATGATACGATGTAAATACAAAATAAATAATCTATGGGAAGAATAATAAAAGTAACATGTTATATCGTTATGAAATGTTAAACAATTTAAGAAAAACAATATGCTCGAACAAAAATATCAGCCATTTACAATAACTTTAAACACAGGTAAATGAAAATAATTTTGTTGTTAGGTATACGTGTACAGTTCCAATAGAGAAAGGAAATATTTTTACAAAATAAATAATTTTGATGTTCATAGTACGAAGTGAAAATTTATAGTAATACCAAACACTTATCAAAGCTGGTATATAGACCAGATATAACCCTGAATAACATTGTATAACAAAAAAGCATTACAATTAGTATCAACAGGTCAAATAAACAAGAAAGTACGATTTGAGAGTACTCGCAGTTACTGACAGCTAGTTAAAAGCCAAAACAATGCATATATTTCGAGTACATATTTAGTGACACGATCTATTTTAATCAGCAAAGACTTTTCTTTCTGATTCTTGTCTTGGTAATATCCATTTCGGTATTTTTTTTTTGTTCGTCTGTTTATTTATTTTTTTGTTTGTTTTTTGTTTTTGTTTTTTGTTTTTTGTTTTTTTGTTCTTTTTCTGCAACCATGATTATGGCTTTTCTTTTTTATGAACAGCTATAATTCCTTTTTTGTTTTCTCAATTATTTCAGTCAAATTACCTGATGTACTGATGGGTAGTTGAGTACACTGTGGGACAGTGGATACTGTGAAGTCGACAGGACACCTATACACGACGCCAGGAGAAACTAGACTAGACTCACTCGTCAGATTATCTTTAGGGGCGCCAATCATCATCCTTCGACGAAAAAATTTTATATACTACATTTTCATTTATTATTATTATATTTTGGTTTTGATGCATTTAAATGTTTGCGCATGTTACTTCCAATCTTTTGGTCTCGTGCATACAAAGCACTCACATGGTATTCTCACTGAGAGATATAACTTTGGTAATATTGATTGTTATGTTACTGTACACTCTATATATCATGAAAATGAGTGGTCCGTCATATTAAACCATTGCTGTGACGTCAACCTATTCATTTACCGTGGTTTCTATTTCTAGAATCAACGCTTCTTAAATCTGTCGCTAAAATGGACTTACCAAATTATATTCAATTGTTTCTTTTGTGTGCCTAATTTCATTAAAAATGAAAACAACACGTTATAAATTTTATGTGTCCGAAACACTTTTCTTGATTTACCTTCATCAGGAACGCTCAAAGCCGAATATTTGAAAGCCAAGGATGTACAAGAACCGAAACAGTTGAAGGGCTATATTGCCAAAAAGGACCTCGAAAGTATAGCCAAATCCACATAAGGTCAACTTTGCCTGACGGAGTTGAAACTTTAGTTTCTAATAATGTCGAAATTTATTAACGAACAATTTTAGAAAGGTGTGTTATAAATCATGTTAGGACCGAAGTAAGTTTGAATTGGCTAATTTACTGAGTTCTGTTAACTAATGGAATTAATCTAAAAGCTTACCTTTCACTTTCGTAATTTGCATATGCCTTCACTGGGAATCGAACCCTTTCTTGAAATCTGTTATATGTGATTGACATCAACACATCGACGAAACCTCTCGGCTACCAATGCGTTGCAATTTAGATGTCTATTATATATATATATATATACAAGTCTAAATTGAAAACAACGTTCAAACCTATGATTGCGTTGGATAAAAACCGCAATTTTTATACGTGTGCATGTAAAACAAATTTCATGGTAGAGGGGTCCAAATACAGCATAAAGAACATTTTCCAAAAGACCAAAAAAGTGAAAAGTATATTTTAACAAAACGCATTTGACTAACAGGTCGAACAACTGATGTTCTTAAAACCTGCTGACTGCCATTGACGATTGCCAAATAAATTGATCACGAGATGTAACATGGATCTTAATTATTAATTTAATACCAAACAGAAAACAATAAACTTGCGGAGAAGATGGTATACCGCAAAAATTTGTACACCAATATATATATATATATATATATATATATATAGATTGCCTAACAATGTAATTTTAACACACTATTTAGTATGTAAATATAAGAATGTTTAAAATATTTACAAAATGATGAAAATAAACGCAATATTTCGCTAGACTAACTAGCTTTATCAAGCGTGCATCTATCCAGGTGAAATCGGATGTAGATGATATATATATAAACAAGTCTAAATTGAAAACAACGTTCAAACCTATGATTGCGTTGGATAAAAACCGCAATTTTTATACGTGTGCATGCAAAACAAATTTCTTGTTAGAGGGGTCTAAATACAGCACAAACAACATTTTCCAAAAGACCAAAAAAGTGAAAAAGTATATTTTAACAAAACGCATTTGACTAACAGGTCGAACAACAAATGTTCTTAAACCCTGCTGACTGCCATTGGCGATTGCCAAATAAACGGATCACCGATGTAATAAATGGATCTTAATTTTAAATTTAATACTAAACAGAAAACAATGAACTTGCGGAAAAGATGATATACCGCAAACAAAAGGTGCAAAGGTTTTGTACACCATATCCGGATTTCGACAATTAATGTCTCTTCAGTGATGTTAGGAATCGAAACGGTATTTGGAAGGCCATATAATTTACCTCAATTTAGGATAGACTCTTGAATTTTGAAAGAGTCAAAATAGGATGAACGGATCATATAAACCCGAAGGCAAATATAATACAAGCCCAAACGAAAAAATATAAACAAGTCTAAATTGAAAACAACGTTCAAACCTATGAATATATGAACATATGATACACATCAGTACAACGGACACACAGGGTTTGTATCTTTCTATATACATATAAAAGACAATCGTATAGTATAAAGTGGTAGCCGCGAGGTTAAGATCAATGAGTCATAATTACGAAAGTAAACGGATAAAGATAAAAAAAAAAAAGGGATCAATGAGTTATAGAGTCAAGTTAGAAGTTGCGACTTGTCGGTTTAGGTTCAAATCCCTTTTTTCTCTTTGTTGTCCCTATTCTTTAGGTTTTCTGTTTTTCTTATTTTTTTATGTTACTTTGGATACTTTTGTAATAATAACGGGTTTTCCCGTTTATTTTTGGTTTATCATTGGCTATTTCACGTATTTGAAAGGAATATAATTACATTTAATTTGTCCATATTTGTTTTATAAATATAATATGATTTCATCTGTTTTACTACACATCTTAACAAATGTTGATTCGCATATTTATGTTAAGTTAGAGACACAATGGATAAGTTTGATTCATGAAAAACCCGCCGGGCTCATGGTTTCTTTTTCAAGAATCAACACTTATCCATTGTATCTATAGTACATATACATTTTTTGACAGTTTTACCTATAATGTCAGTTTGTTTTGTTGACACATTGTTGTCAATATAATGGAATTATGTATGACTGTCATACAAGTGAGAGGTTAGCTAGCTATAAAACCAGGTTTAAACCACCATTTTCTACATAAGAAAATGCCTGTACCAAGTCGGAAATATGACAGTTGTTTTCCATTCGTGTGATGTGTTTGAGTTTTTGATTTTGCCATTTGATAAAGGACGTTTTGAGTTTTCCTTGAAGTTTTACAAAAGACATATCAAATCTAAAAGTATAATGTAATAGAGTTATTGATAATGAGAGAAGTCCATACTTTCAACCTTGTTGTTATTCGACTGTATTCCGACATTTGAATATTCACTTTGGTATCTTCTCTCTTATGTTATCGTTGATATCATAACACATGGTTAAAGAACAAAAGTAAAAAATGACAAAAGTTGTTTCAACATTATCCAAGTAACTTACCAATTATCTTGTAATATTCCACTATATCCGAAATAAGACTTTTCAGGCCCAGAAAATGTTAACGTATTTTTAACATCAACATTAAAACTATTTACAACTACAAAAAAAGAGAGCCAAAATAGTCCATCTATATTCATGTTCTTCCCTTTTCTATGTAAGGAGAGATGTTTTAAACTTTTATGTATCACACTGAAAGGTATCCGTGATGAAATGTTTAACAATTGTGGATCGATAGCACGATATATCGTTTGGCAACTTGTCAAGTTGTATTATTGATAATTGTTTTCCAATTAAATAATATTTTTTTCATCTTTTAAAGACTGCTTCCTTCCGTATGACGATTTCATCCGTAAAGAAATTCACCCATATCACGATAAAGGATATGGTTTGCACAATCTATGTAATTTGGACTACGAAGCCGGTTTAATACGCATCCCAAATGGTGAATATACTTTCAATTTGGCAAATAATTATGCTAGTATCTACGTTCCCCCTTTTTTGTTAGTGGTATACATGGTGGACAGATAAAACAAATGTTATTATGCATAATGAATAAATAATCAAACTAAATCAAGATTTGTTTGCAAACATGTATTACTTGGACAGGATAAAAATTGAAAGTTAGAATAACTAATGGTTTTAACATGCATCCAAAAATTTAGTTGGTAAAGATAAAATCCTAGATTTAGGTGGAATTGTAATCCACATGTTATTTTGGATAAAAGATCAAACTTTATTAAGATTTGTTAACAAATCTGTACAAATCGAACATGATATCAAATAGAAGTTGCACTTATTATGAAACCCCAAAATGGTGAAAATATTTTTATATTGGTAAATTGCCTCCCCTGTTGTGAGTAAAGCTCCAGGTTTCATAAAGACATTCGTATAATGAACATTCATTGTATTATCTTCAACTTAAAAACTCAATCATGATAACACAAGACTAATTTACAAAAAAACCATGACTAAAATATTTCAGATCAATGACTTACTAAGGTTGATACTTTACGGAAATACAATCTGATTCACTTGTTTTATGTTGACGTTTGTCATGTTTTATACCCCTATACTGTAACTTTATACACATTTGTCGTTTTTGTATCAGTGTATATATTATATATTGTCACATCGATTTGATGAACTGATTGTTATATATTGACCTTTAATTTAATTGTTCTCTGGGTACTGTGCTGTCTGATGGATTTTTGTCACTTTTCGTTTGATACTATTCCAGCATTTTCTTCTTACTGCAAATTTAGATTGATTGTTGACTGCTAACCTAAACGTCGCATTCTTGTAAATTTATAATATAAACGCCTGAATAAGTAGTGAGATAAAGAACATTATAACACCAGTCTGCCTTAAGGATTATCCCTTCTTACTTATTTTGTTTATTTTTATAAAAGGGAAAATGAAGAATAATTAGATATTTTTTATTTGTTAATTGTGAAAATATGATGATAAATACGTATTCGTTGAAAAACACAAAGAAGAATCTAAGGGGAATAAAAAAAAACGAAGACTTCATCATGGCTAAAAGATGACAGATGAACAGACAAACAAGTCCATAAAGTATAAGACGATGAAAAACAGGAGATTAACCATCTCTAATTCCCCTAAAAACCGACAAACGAACTAAGGGGCACTGGAAGTGGATGCATTTCCTAATCCACTGGTGACAAACACCATATTGCTTAGTGATCAGCCATGTCTACTGATAAGGCATCACATAATAGGGGGTTAGTCAATGTATCTTATCGAAAGACATCACCAAACTCATACACCATCAGTTCTGGTCAATTTTCTATCCCTAGAACTTGACCGAATGTGATAGAATGACAAGAAAACATTCTTTACTTGAACAATTGATAGACAAGACCATAACTGGCAGAAAAGGCACCAACTTTGGAAACAAAAGATAAAATGGCACATAATACAACCAATCTACAGCAAAAGCAAACAAACCCTTACTTAAGAAAACTAGGGGTGAACTCCAGTTTCTCAGGAAGGGTCGACACTTCCTGATCAAATAATGACAGTCTTGCTCCTGTTAAAATATGTTGAATACGATCTGGTGATATAAAACCAAAACACAATAGGGGATTTGCGATGTTTCTATCTTACCCCACACACGAGGTTGACACCAAAAGCATAAACCAACGGCACATATTAATTATCTAACCCTAAAACTAGACCGAATGTGAAATTTCAAAATAAAAACATTATTGTTTTAGGACAAAGGATAGACAAGCCCATAACTGGTAGAAAAACAATGAGGAATAAAGTAGCACAAAATAAAAAAAAACACCGATAAATAAAGCAAAAACAACATAAACTTGATAAATAAAGCAAAAACAGCATACAGTTCTGAAATACCACTCATAACCTTTTGAACCGGCATTAAAGTAGTTAATCAGTACAGTGCATTTTGCATTTTATTATAGGCTTCGGATGCACAAAATTTATAAACCTACAGCTTCATTCCTACACAACCCAAAGAAAGACTTAGGTTCAGAAAAAAAAATGTTCTTCACCTGTTCAGTAGAGAAACCCAAGATAAAGAACCATCAGTTTGGCTGTGAGGGAATTATAAATACGAATCCACGTCCAGGTGGGGTAGATAGGTTAAATCAAGTTTGTGCTGTTAGGAATGTACAAATACCAAGCCACCTTCAGTTGGGATGGAGAGGTTAAATCAGTCTTGTTCTGTGAGAGGTGTATAAATACCAAGCCACTCTCAGGTGGGATGGAGAGGTTAAATCAGTCTTTTTCTGTGAGAAATGTATAAATACCAAGCCACGTCCAGTTGGGATGGTGAGGTTAAATCAGTCTTGTGCTGTGAGAAATGTATAAATACCAAGCCACGTCCAGGTGGGATGGAGAGGTTAAATCAGTCTTGTGCTGTGAGAAATGTATAAAATACCAAGCCATGTCCAGTTGGGGTGGAGAGGTTAAATCAGTCTTGTGCTGTGAGAGTTGTATAAATACCAAGCCACGTCCAGTTGGGATGGAGAGGTTAAATCAGTCTTATGCTGTGAGAGGTGTACAAATACCAAGCCACGTCCAGGTGGGGTGCAGAGGTTAAATCAGTATTGTGTTGTGAAAGATGTATATATACCAAGCCACGTCCAGGTGGGGTAGAGAGGTTAAATCAGTCTTGTGCTGTGAGAAATGTATAAATACCAAGCCATGTCCAGGTGGGATGGGGAGGTTAAATCAGTCTTGTGCTGTGAGAGGTGTACAAATACCAAATCAAGTCCGATTAGGATGGGGAAGTTTAATCAAAGTATTGTGCTGAGAGAAATGTATTAATCCCAAGCCACGTCCAGGTGGGATGGAGAGGTTAAATCAGTATTATTTTGTGAGTAATGTATAAATACCAAGCCATGTCCAGGTGGAATGGAGAGGTTAAATCAGTAATGTGCTGTGAGAAATGTATAAATACCAAGCCACGTCCAGGTGGGATGGAGAGGTTAAATCAGTCTTTTTCTGTGAGAAATGTATAAATACCAAGCCACGTCCAGTTGGGATGGTGAGGTTAAATCAGTCTTGTGCTGTGAGAAATGTATAAATACCAAGCCACGTCCAGGTGGGATGGAGAGGTTAAATCAGTATTGTGCTGTGAGAAATGTATAAATACCAAGCCATGTCCAGGTGGGATGGAGAGGTTAAATCATACAATTGTGTTGGGAGAATGCCACGTTCTTTCATGTGTGAAAAAACATGACAATAACTCTGAGGGTTCCGAAGGTGGCCAATTGCAAATCAAAACTTCTAACCCTACCAAACAACACTTAACGTTATCTTGATGATGTTTTTTTGGTTAAATAATCGTTCTATTGATGATACATTTTCGTTAGATAATCGTTCTATTGATGTTATATTTTCGTTAAATAATCAAGAATTTTTCAAACAAACTGCCGATCTTTACCCAAAGGATCTTACTTTAAATAAATCAAATATAAACTATAATAACTGTCCTTTCCTAGATTTAGATACTTCAGTTTTACACGAGAAACTCTACACAAAAATTAACGATAAAAAAGACGAACATCATTCCCTATTGTTAATTTTCCTCTTTTGGACGTTGATGTTCCTTTGGCATCATCTTACGGTGTTTATAAATCACAACTTGTTCGTTATGCCCGTGTCTGTAATGACTTAATGACTTTTGAGAATCCAATGAACATTATCACAAATTATTTAAAACCTTTACTAAATTCTTCCATAGATTCAAAGATTTGGTTTGGAAGTTTGACTGTAGATTTATTACAAACGGGATAGCTCATCCTAATTTTACGGGAATGTTGTTTACCGAGCCCATAAACTTAGATACGCTCCGGGTAAGCTTATCTGTCCTTTAAATAAACTTATTCTAAAAGGTTATCAATTCAACACTGTAATTCGATCTCTGAATATATTTCTTAAAGGTATATTGATTTATCAGTAAATTCAAACTCAAACTAAATATTATGCTTATACACATTTGTACATTGACGATTCTGCAATCTGTCGATAACTATATTTTACCATTGCACCAAGTCATGTTTTTCTCTGACTGTTAATGACGTATTTTCACTAAATCCATTGGATGTTGGTTGTGTGCTGATTGATATATTAATATTGGTATATAAGACACATGATTTTGTATTAGTTGTTATTGGCTTTGCACTAGCCTTTCATTAGTGTTCTGTATTTATGTCTTTGATAGGGTTTTTATGTGCTTTTTATCGATCTGACAAGTCGAGCCCATTTCAACTGATTTTGATAATTAGTTCTTATGTCGTACTGTTACACCACTGTCCAAGGTTAGAAGGGTTTGGAGCAAGCAAACATATTTAACCACGCCACATTCTGTATGTGCCTATCCCAAGTCAGGAGCCTGTTATTTAGTGGTTGTCGATTATTGCTGTATATCTGTTTTGTACATGAAACAGGACGTTAGTTTTCTCGTTTGATTTGTTTAACATTTGTCATTTCGGGGCCTTTTATAGCTTACTATGCAGTACGGTGACATATAGTTGCTGACTTCTATGTCATTTGGTCTGTGGTAGAGAGTTGTCTCATTGGAAATCATATGATATCTTCTTATTTTTACATACTGTGGATTCATTATTATTCGTGGGATACCAATTTTCGTGGATTTCGTTGGTACTGGTGAACCACGAAATTAAATGTTCAACGAATGTCAAATTTTATATAGGCTTGTATGCAGACTTTGGTAAAACCACGAAATTGAATATCCACGAATATGAAAGTTTTCCTTTATCCACGAAAATTGGTACCCACGAAAATAAATGAATCCACAGTATACCCTCTTATTCAAATAAAAGTCCCAACATTGACAAAATACCCTTATTGATGCATTATTCAGTTCTTGTTCTAAATTAGTATAAACTATTTTAGGCTACTGAAAGATTGAGCATATATATAAACTTTAAGCCTACTCTTCTATAAGTTTTATGATTACCAATGAGATGACTAGCTACCAGAGACCAAAGGCCAAGTATGTTAACAAGTATACATGTACATGTATTATACTGTATAGCCTTCAACAATGAGCAAATCTTATAGCCCATATTCAATGAATTTTGTTTCAAAATCTTATTCATTTGCAGATATAAAAGGATCTTGAAATTCAAACATATTTCTTTATGTGGACCCTTACCAGGTGATATAAAATTCTATAGAATGCATCATAAAACTCATGTTGAGGGAGATAACTCCAATAGTATCCTACAGAATCTATTACAAAATATATACCATTTATCTGTCCTGGAAAGGCAGTAAATAGACACCTACCTACACCAATATTGCAACTGATTGACAAAAATAAACATTAGTAGCCTTTCTTTGAAGTGTATCACAAAATTTTTATTTTGCATGATTATTATGTGTACTACTAAAATACTTCTAATTAAAACAAAAATACTGTTTGAATGATTTATTCTTAAGCCTTTGCATATCAAACACATACACATTCTAATTGAGAAAGACTTACAACATTGCACATCCCGGTTAATATATCAACAGCATATGTAATACGACTCAATTATAAACTGTAACTTGAAAACTGAATGCCATAAAAGTCTGTGTTATTCACTGGCTTCTATGCTCACCTACTTTGAATTAATAAGATACAAATGTTCCAAAAGCATTGATGAGAAGGGTACAAGTCAACATAATTCTGACATAAACACTTTTCAGCAGCATTTGTAGATTTAAAGAATGGTGAATGACTAAAATATTTAGGTGTGGAGTTAAAAACTTTATCATTTATTCATAATTCAGCAGCTATTTGGTAGGTTATTATTATCATATTCCTTAATTGCAAATAACATCGTTCATGTTGGTCAATTAGTAGGGTACATCATATATAACATGGAATGTATTAAATAAACATGTTTTTAGTAAAATAAGGTTTTCTTGTGGTTTCAGGGAAGATGTTTGACTAAGTTTGACATGTGGTTTCAGGGAAGATGTTTGAATAAGGTTGTCTCGTTGTTTGCAAAGAGAAACATAACAGATGAATGACAGATCACAACATAGGTCAAAAGCTTACACTGGCCTTCTGAACGCTCTAAAAGTCTACATTTTTTATCAGTTTTGTAGAATTAAAATAACAGATATAAATTATATGAAAGCTTACTTGTTTTGAGAACAAATGTAAGAATTCATCAAAGAAAAATTGAATTAGTCTTTTTTTTTTTACCAAATTCCTTAACTGACAAGGACAGCAAAACTTAAAATCTATAAAAAAATCCAATGAAGCACAATGCTGTCAATCATTGAGTCACTATTTTAGATTCAGTATAAGCATTCTTGAGTAAACATTATGATAATATATCATAATATTCTGTCATTGACCTGCATATGAAAACGTTACCAATATAGATATACATTGGAATGTTAAAAAACTGGTTATATCCTTACAAATAATACAACAATATAATCAATCATAGTTTGCCTAATTTTTGGCAATACAAGTGTACAATAAATGTTATAAGGTACATAATCAAATGTAAAAAATCTTATATCATGTTCTATTTTTGCTTCACATTATGGTTCATGTTAAATATCAAATCAGCTAGAAAGGACAGAAACATAACAATATTCAAATATCTCTGTACACAAACACATCATAAATGGTGTTTGCACATAACTGTTAAATTACAGATTTATTAGAGAAAATTCTCATTTGCACACAAAAACACATTTGTATCTTTGATATATGAAATCTAAAAATATACCGATGATACATTGCTTGTAAGATGGATAAATGCCAATAAATGTTTGATTTCAGTATCACAACTTCATCATTATCTTTTCTTCATTATTTATTTCAATGTATTTCAAAAATTGTAAATAGGAATTATATTAAAATTAAGTAAATTAGAAAAATAATAAACAAAAAAACATTGACCATTACATTACAGTCAATTATATAAAACATGAAAACAATCAGAAATATGAATAAATCATCAGCACGATAAGAGCATATACACATTTATTGCAAGACATCACAGAACATTTAAATAGCTAAAAGTCTCTAGTTTATCTATCCAATCTTGTAGAAATTCAGTTCAATATTACACATATGTTTGAAGATCTGTGATACTTTCTTGCAACTATTTTCATCAAAGTTTTGTAAGATTTCCATCATATCATCAACACATTTATCTTCTAGTTCTTTCAGATTTTGTGAAATCATTAATCCCATAGGATTCTCTGTATTCAATAACTTGACAAAATTGTCATGTCCTTTGTAAAGAGCATGTCGTCTATCAACAGTTTTACTAAAACGTGGCTGCATAAGCAATGGGTCATCGGCACCAAACTTAGGAGAGACAGTTAGATCACCAAGATCAACATCTGGACAAAAGATGAATGGTTTGTAGATGCTTACATTTGGATTGGGTGTGGCTGTAAACCAATGTAACGGCGGGGAAAGGGATGCACCAGTTGGGATTACCGATATTTGACTTCCTGTTGACAGACTCAACCCTCCACCACCTAAACGACAGATTTCATTTTTCTCGTCACGTAGAATCTTAGCCATATCTCTCATTCCAAATTTACCTGTAATATATGAAGATGGTACCATTTGTAGGGTAATACTGATAATGTTCTCTTATTCTCAGCTGGTTTATACTTTCTCTGAACAGTTTATTATTGTTTCACTTCGTTCTTTATTTGTAAAAATTCAATTATAATGTCATATTTCTAATTCTGCTATTGTGACACCTGGAAAAAAGGTGACCATTCCTGATGACATCCTTTGTACATATGAAAGATGAAATTTGCTACATATCTTCAAAGAATAAGTACAGAAACAGATTCCATCGTATCTCATGCAAAATGATATTTCTCCATTTTTGCAATTAATGTAAAAAATACAATGGAAGTCTTCCTATAAAAGACAATTATAATGCCTTGACAAGAAACAATTTTTCTATTCAATGATAAATGTGAAATTTATTTTATAGAATGCAGTGTAAAACAGCAAAATCAGGGGAGGCTGTCAGATTTCTTTCATATGCAATCAAACACAGAATTATTTAAATCTGGAATAATTTTGAATTCTGAAAATTGATGAGAAATGTATGATGAAAACTAACCCACTAAAACTTTCATGTGTGCGTGGCTAAGGTTCAAGTTACTTTAGCTGATATTACAGTATGCACACATGGCTAACATATTTAGTTGGGTTAGTTTTCATCAAACATTTGTTATCAATTTTCCAGAATTCAAAATTATTCCAGATTCAAATAATTCCTTGTTATCAATAGTTGAGTTTTTGATGTGTATTATACTGACTGACTTTGAAGTTTTATGTGGTTTTCTTACATAATATTTAATGCACTCTATTTACTTTTATAATTTTCTTCATCTGTAGAGACTGAAAAGGGGGAGGTATAATACGTGAAACAAAAAAATAGTTCAACTTCACCAAATATAAAAGAGCTTGTCCAATGACAGAAAACTTGTCAGTATTTATCTTTTTTGAATCAATAGAATTTCTTGTTATCTTATATGTGGCTGCTTGAAACAACTCACCTTCTTTAGAATATTCCTCAAGTAGTCTTTTACCATTTACAAATCTGTTAACAGGTGTAGTATCTTTAGCAAACACAAGAGAAAAGTTAAAATCTCCATCTGATTCCTTGTACAATCCGGATGATTTAGCCTCCTCTATAAGATTAGGTGACATCATGTCTATTTTTGTACCAATGGTCAGCTGGTTGGAAATATTTCTAACTCCCTCTGAAATAAGTAATTGATGGAGACAATAATTTCTGAATTTTCATTTTTATTATACCTATAACTATATATACTGCGAACAAACTAATTATTGTGAGCAATTTATTTACATCACTTTGATAGCTGGAAAAAAACTCAAATATAACTTGTCATGAATGTTAAACTTGGATCTTAGTTTATATGTATTCCTTCAAAATTTGAATACTCAAGAAAATAAATGAGAAGGCTATATGCAAATTAAAGTACCATAGAAAATAAATGAGAAGGCTACATGCAAGTTAAAGTACCATAGAAAATAAATGAGAAGGCTACATGCAAATTAAAGTACCATAGAAAATAAATAAGAAGGCTACATGCAAATTAAAGTACCATAGAAAATAAATGAGAAGGCTACATGCAAGTTAAAGTACCATAGAAAATAAATGAGAAGGCTACATGCAAATTAAAGTACTAAAGAAAATAAATGAGAAGGCTACATGCAAATTAAAGTACCATAGAAAATAAATGAGAAGGCTACATGCAAATTAAAGTACCATAGAAAATAAATGAGAAGGCTACATGCAAATTAAAGTACCATAGAAAATAAGTTGGTTTACAGTGTAACATGATAACATGCATTGAATTGAGTTAAGCTATTTCAGTTGATATTTTATAGTGTGTCTTTCTATGTTGTGATGTTACACTATTGTTTCAGAAAAAGTGTGAAGGTTTGGTACCATTAAAACGTTTAAACCCGCTGCATTTGTTTGCACCTGTCCTAAGTCAGGAATCTGATGTTCAGTAGTTGTCGTTTGTTGATGTGGTTAGGGTTAGGGTTAGGGTTAGGTTAGGGTTAGGGTTAGGGTAGTGTTTTTCGTTTTTTATATAGATTAGACCGTTGGTTTTCCCGTTTGAATGGTTTTACACTAGTAATTTTTGGGGCCCTTTATAGCTTACTGTTCGGTGTGAGCCAAGACTCCGTGTTGAAGACCGTACTGTGACCTATAATGGTTTACTTTTATAAATTTTGACTTGGATGGAGAGTTGTCTCATTGGCACTCATACCACATCTTCTTATATCTATTGAAGAATATGGAAACATATATTTTTTGCTTTGTTTGACCTGAGTCATCCGTTTCATTATACTGGACAACTTAATTAGCATTTACACAATATTCAGTATTCTAAACTGTAAATGCATTAAATTTTCAGAAGAACAAAAAAGTATGGCACTTAAGGCCATATTGAATTCCTGAAAACAACTGACAAAGTAAACAGCTAAACAAAAATTTAAAAGGGGTTCTGCCGAACCCTGTGTCTAGCCTGCTATTGCTACTGTCAGTGTAAAAGTGTAATGTTGACCTTAAAAAGTGAGTCCATTTATCACTAAAATACAGAATTTAAAAAAAAATTCAAACTTTTTCTTGAGATGCTATTTCTTGGTCTTGAAGATAACAATCCATGAAGGTTTACAAACTTATCATGTAAAAATAAATTTCGCAGGCTCGACAATAATACAGGTACTCCAAAGGGAATGTATACACACATAATCTTTCTCAAATACCACATTCTTGAGACCTTTACCTAGGATCAGGGTTTATGTTTGATTCATTCATGAAAAAACAACATAAACTTTGTCTGGTATTGCACTTTAAAAACAAAGTCCTTTTTCACAATAGAACATAAATTAACATGAGATGTCCATATTTTATTCTGCTTTGTAATTCCTTTTTCTAATTTATTCCACATAATGTCTTCTTCAACAGAACATATTGCAATTCTTAAAAGTTGAACCACAGAGCAGTGCACATATCTCTAGATGGATATAATGGGGTGCCCTCTAGATCTGTACCAAAAAAATGAGGTCAAGTTCAGATAATCCTTGTCATGCAAACATGTACATGTTAATTGAAACTGTATTCCTAATATTTTTTACCAAAGTCAAGGTCAGGTTACCCCTGTCAGGTAATCATGTACTCAGGACACAAAAGCCTGGTTTAAGCCACCACATTCTTTATTTGTCTTTCCCAAGCAAGGAGCCTGTAATCTAGTGGTTGTATTTGTCTTTCCCAAGCAAGGAGCCTATAATCTAGTGGTTGTATTTGTCTATCCCAAGCAAGGAGCCTGTAATCTAGTGGTTGTATTTGTCTATCCCAAGCAAGGAGCCTATAATCTAGCGGTTGTATTTGTCTTTCCCAAGCAAGGAGCCTGTAATCTAGCGATTGTATTTGTCTATCCCAAGCAAGGAGCCTGTAATCTAGTGGTTGTATTTGTCTATCCCAAGCAAGGAGCCTGTAATCTAGTGGCTGTATTTGTCTATCCCAAGCAAGGAGCCTGTAATCTAGTGGCTGTATTTGTCTATCCCAAGCAAGGAGCCTGTAATCTAGTGGTTGTATTTGTCTATCCCAAGCAAGGAGCCTGTAATCTAGTGGTTGTATTTGTCTATCCCAAGCAAGGAGCCTGTAATCTAGTGGTTGTATTTGTCTATCCCAAGCAAGGAGCCTGTAATCTAGCGGTTGTATTTGTCTATCCCAAGCAAGGAGCCTGTAATCTAGCGGTTGTATTTGTCTATCCCAAGCAAGGAGCCTGTAATCTAGCGGTTGTATTTGTCTATCCCAAGCAAGGAGCCTATAATCTAGCGGTTGTATTTGTCTTTCCCAAGCAAGGAGCCTGTAATCTAGTGATTGTATTTGTCTATCCCAAGCAAGGAGCCTGTAATCTAGTGGTTGTATTTGTCTATCCCAAGCAAGGAGCCTGTAATCTAGTGGTTGTATTTGTCTATCCCAAGCAAGGAGCCTATAATCTAGTGGTTGTATTTGTCTATCCCAAGCAAGGAGCCTGTAATCTAGTGGTTGTATTTGTCTATCCCAAGCAAGGAGCCTGTAATCTAGTGGTTGTATTTGTCTATCCCAAGCAAGGAGCCTGTAATCTAGTGGTTGTATTTGTCTATCCCAAGCAAGGAGCCTGTAATCTAGCGGTTGTATTTGTCTATCCCAAGCAAGGAGCCTGTAATCTAGCGGTTGTATTTGTCTATCCCAAGCAAGGAGCCTGTAATCTAGCGGTTGTATTTGTCTATCCCAAGCAAGGAGCCTATAATCTAGCGGTTGTATTTGTCTTTCCCAAGCAAGGAGCCTGTAATCTAGTGATTGTATTTGTCTATCCCAAGCAAGGAGCCTGTAATCTAGTGGTTGTATTTGTCTATCCCAAGCAAGGAGCCTGTAATCTAGTGGTTGTATTTGTCTATCCCAAGCAAGGAGCCTATAATCTAGTGGTTGTATTTGTCTATCCCAAGCAAGGAGCCTGTAATCTAGTGGTTGTATTTGTCTATCCCAAGCAAGGAGCCTGTAATCTAGTGGTTGTATTTGTCTATCCCAAGCAAGGAGCCTATAATCTAGTGGTTGTATTTGTCTATCCCAAGCAAGGAGCCTGTAATCTAGTGGTTGTATTTGTCTATCCCAAGCAAGGAGCCTATAATCTAGTGGTTGTATTTGTCTATCCCAAGCAAGGAGCCTGTAATCTAGTGGTTGTATTTGTCTATCCCAAGCAAGGAGCCTGTAATCTAGTGGTTGTATTTGTCTATCCCAAGCAAGGAGCCTGTAATCTAGTGGTTGTATTTGTCTATCCCAAGCAAGGAGCCTGTAATCTAGTGGTTGTATTTGTCTATCCCAAGCAAGGAGCCTATAATCTAGTGGTTGTATTTGTCTATCCCAAGCAAGGAGCCTGTAATCTAGCGGTTGTATTTGGCTATCCCAAGCAAGGAGCCTGTAATCTAGTGGTTGTATTTGTCTATCCCAAGCAAGGAGCCTGTAGTCTAGTGGTTGTATTTGTCTATCCCAAGCAAGGAGCCTGTAATCTAGTGGTTGTATTTGTCTATCCCAAGCAAGGAGCCTGTAATCTAGTGGTTGTATTTGTCTATCCCAAGCAAGGAGCCTATAATCTAGTGGTTGTATTTGTCTATCCCAAGCAAGGAGCCTGTAATCTAGTGGTTGTATTTGTCTATCCCAAGCAAGGAGCCTGTAATCTAGTGGTTGTATTTGTCTATCCCAAGCAAGGAGCCTATAATCTAGTGGTTGTATTTGTCTATCCCAAGCAAGGAGCCTGTAATCTAGTGGTTGTATTTGTCTATCCCAAGCAAGGAGCCTATAATCTAGTGGTTGTATTTGTCTATCCCAAGCAAGGAGCCTGTAATCTAGTGGTTGTATTTGTCTATCCCAAGCAAGGAGCCTGTAATCTAGTGGTTGTATTTGTCTATCCCAAGCAAGGAGCCTGTAATCTAGTGGTTGTATTTGTCTATCCCAAGCAAGGAGCCTGTAATCTAGTGGTTGTATTTGTCTATCCCAAGCAAGGAGCCTATAATCTAGTGGTTGTATTTGTCTATCCCAAGCAAGGAGCCTGTAATCTAGCGGTTGTATTTGGCTATCCCAAGCAAGGAGCCTGTAATCTAGTGGTTGTATTTGTCTATCCCAAGCAAGGAGCCTGTAGTCTAGTGGTTGTATTTGTCTATCCCAAGCAAGGAGCCTGTAATCTAGTGGTTGTATTTGTCTATCCCAAGCAAGGAGCCTATAATCTAGTGGTTGTATTTGTCTATCCCAAGCAAGGAGCCTATAATCTAGTGGTTGTATTTGTCTATCCCAAGCAAGGAGCCTGTAGTCTAGTGGTTGTATTTGTCTATCCCAAGCAAGGAGCCTGTAGTCTAGTGGTTGTATTTGTCTATCCCAAGCAAGGAGCCTGTAATCTAGCGGTTGTATTTGGCTATCCCAAGCAAGGAGCCTGTAATCTAGTGGTTGTATTTGTCTATCCCAAGCAAGGAGCCTGTAATCTAGTGGTTGTATTTGTCTTTCCCAAGCAAGGAGCCTGTAATCTAGTGGTTGTATTTGTCTATCCCAAGCAAGGAGCCTGTAATCTAGTGGTTGTATTTGGCTATCCCAAGCAAGGAGCCTGTAATCTAGTGGTTGTATTTGTCTATCCCAAGCAAGGAGCCTGTAATCTAGTGGTTGTATTTGGCTATCCCAAGCAAGGAGCCT